GGTCTTTTACGCTATTAGTCCCGCGACTCTATCCATTCTTACGACATACAATAACCTCGGTTCGTCTTGCCGTCTTAAAAGCTCTCATGACGTTTGTCAATCTCGGCACAGAATCCCAAGGGTGGCTTGATGGAAGAATCCTCCGATTGATATTCCAAAATATGCTCGTGGAGCGTGACCAGGAGACTCTCCGCATGTCCATGGATCTGTGGGCTGCTCTAGTTAAATGCCTGGCGAAGAATCCAGATACGCTGGCGCATGAGTTTGCCCCACATATCGATGCCCTTATGCAACTTACTCTACATCCTGTTGGCGTCTCTCGGCATCCTATACCTATGAATGGTGCGCTCTTCCTCAAGCCATCCGGAGGCACATACTCAGTACCCGGTTTCTCCCCTTCAACTGCACGTAAGGGTTCCGAGCCGGAGGGAGAGCGAGCTACGAAGAGGCGAAAGAAGTCCACCAAGGCGGACGATCCGCCTCCAACTGCTCACTCACACGATCTCGATGGCCACATGATGCAAGGAGATGTGGACCTAGTCGGGATTGACACCCTTATCCGCTCTCGTGTCTCTGCAGCTGCAGCAATGGGTTTGATCATGTCGCTTGTGCCTACGCAGCATCTGGAATCCTACGATGCCACGCTCGTCCCGGGACTAGTATCATCCTATTCATCTACTCAACTCGCGGCGTGCATAGTGATCGACGAATACGCTCGAAACTGCGTTTCATCTCAAGCCGAAACGTCGAGATATATGGGTGAATTGCAAAAGATCATAGATATGGAACGACCTTCCCAATATCGCGATCTAGTGAGTTATGTTCAGCGAGTACGTTCACAATGCCAACAGCTCATGAGTCTCTTCAGAGACCATGGAAAGGTGCCTCAACACAAACTTCCAGCTCTTCCTGTTGTTGTGCAAGGCGAGGCAGAAGCAGGCCCAGGAGCTTTTTCTCTCACCACAGCTGAGAAGTGCGTTAACGAGGATTTCGAAAGATTAAAAAGAGTCATGGTACCAGCGCAACGCTTGATTGCTAATCAGCAACTCAACGAACTTCGCGCAGCTGCGATAGAGGCGATCGAGGACGCCAAATCTATCAAAGACACGCGAGACGTTCGTATTAGAGCTGCAGCTGCCTGCGCTCTCATAGCAATGAAAGTACTCCCCAAGAAACCAAGCCCTCTAATCAAGGCTATTATGGATAGCATCAAGCTGGAGGAGAACCAGCAACTCCAGACTCGCTCCGCTGACACAATTGGCCGGCTAGTCCAATTATTCACCGAGAAAGGCCGGCGGGGCCCCGCCGACAAGGTCGTTTCTAATCTAGTCAAATTCTCCTGCGTTGAGGTTGCCGAAACGCCCGAGTTTCCGGTTCACGCAACGAAGACAAATATCATCCTATCAATGCAAAAAGAGGAAGACAGAGTTGATCATGGGCCAGACGCTGCTAAGTTTGCTCGGGAAGCTAAAGGTGCTCGCATCACCCGACGGGGAGCGAAAGAAGCTCTCGAGATTCTCTCCCGCACGTTCGGTGCAGATTTGTTTACTACAGTCCCGAGCTTGAGGGCTTTTATGGAAGAACCTTTGATGAAGGCATTTTCAGGCGAACTGCCTGCCGAAGCCAAGGACCCTGAGGATCTGTTCGGGCAAGAAATCGTAGATGCTATGTCGGTTATCCGAACCATGACACCGACGTTAGACAAAGCCCTTCACCCATTCATAATGCAACAAGTACCACTTGTCATCAAGTCACTTCATTCGGAACTATCCATATTTCGATACATGGCTGCGAAATGCTTGGCCACTATCTGCAGTGTCATCGCCGTGGAGGGCATGACTGCACTCGTGGAGAAAGTGCTGCCTTCTATTAACAACCCTATAGACCTACAGTTCCGTCAAGGCGCGATAGAAGCTATTTATCACCTGATTGCCGTCATGGGTGACGGCATTCTCCCTTACGTCATTTTCCTCATCGTGCCTGTTTTAGGTCGTATGAGCGACTCGGACAACGATATTCGCCTGATCGCGACTACATCCTTTGCTACGTTGGTTAAACTAGTACCCCTCGAGGCTGGCATCCCTGATCCACCTGGCCTCTCTGAAGAGCTACTAAAGGGTAGAGACCGCGAGAGAACATTTATCGCACAGCTCCTTGACCCTAAGAAAGTTGAGCCATTCAAAATACCAGTCGCAATCAATGCTGAGTTGCGTTCATACCAACAAGAGGGCGTCAATTGGCTTCATTTCCTAAACAGGTACCACCTCCACGGCATTCTCTGCGATGATATGGGGCTTGGAAAGACGCTTCAGACCCTTTGTATCGTCGCGAGTGATCATTACAACAGAGCAGAAGAGTTCAAAAAGACCAGTGCTCCGGACGTGCGAAAGCTCCCATCCCTTATTGTCTGCCCACCAACGCTCTCAGGACATTGGCAACAAGAGTTAAAGACGTTCGCACCTTTCCTGAGCGTCACCGCTTTCGTTGGGCCTCCTACCGAAAGAAGGGCCAAGGCAGCTCAGTTCGCATCGACCGACGTCGTCATTACTTCATATGAAGTTTGTCGCAACGATACTGATTATCTTGAGAAGCAGAGTTGGAATTACATTGTGCTCGATGAGGGTCACTTGATCAAAAATCCCAAAGCGAAAATCACCCTTGCCGTAAAGAGACTCGCCAGTAATCATCGATTAATCCTAACCGGCACGCCGATTCAGAACAACGTCCTGGAGCTCTGGTCGCTCTTTGACTTTTTAATGCCGGGGTTCCTTGGAGCCGAAAAGGTGTTCTTAGATCGATTTGCTAAGCCGATAGCCGCCAGTCGCTTCAGTAAAGCTTCTTCCAAGGAACAAGAAGCCGGAGCTCTAGCGATCGAAGCTCTACACAAACAAGTCCTACCATTCTTACTTCGTCGTTTGAAAGAGGAAGTTCTTGACGATCTTCCTCCCAAGATTCTCCAAAACTACTACTGCGATCTTAGCGACCTGCAAAGGAAATTATTCGAAGATTTCACCAAGAAACAGAGTAAGAAGCTCACGGAGGAAGCCGGTCGTGATGATAAAGAAGCCAAGCAGCACATCTTCCAAGCTTTGCAGTACATGCGAAAGCTGTGTAACTCTCCGGCACTTGTCATGACACCGAGCAACAAACTTTATGACGATACCCAGCGCTTCCTTGCGAAACAAGGAACCAGCGTAGAAGACCCGGTACACGCTCCCAAGCTAACCGCTCTCAAAGACCTGCTGGTTGATTGCGGTATTGGAATTGAAGGTACCGATTCGAACGACCCTCTCTACCAGCCAATAAAGCCGCATCGCGCGTTGATTTTCTGTCAGATGAAAGAAATGCTTGACATGGTCCAGAATACAGTATTGAAGCGCATGCTTCCTTCTGTTTCATATCTACGACTCGACGGCTCTGTCGAGGCAAATAAGCGGCAGGACATCGTTAATAAATTTAACAAGGACCCGTCATACGACTGTTTACTACTCACTACTAGCGTTGGTGGCTTAGGTCTCAACCTTACAGGAGCGGATACTGTCATTTTTGTCGAGCATGACTGGAATCCTCAACGAGATCTCCAAGCCATGGACCGTGCTCACCGAATCGGGCAGAAGAAAGTTGTCAACGTTTACCGGTTGGTTACGAGAGGCACGCTGGAAGAGAAGATTCTGAGGTAAGCACACATATCTGCGCTTAGTTTAGCACCTACTAATTGCTGGATATATAGCCTTCAAGCATTCAAGATAGATGTAGCATCTACCGTGGTGAACCAACAGAATGCCGGCTTAGTAAGTAACATCACCCATTTGCCACGCTGAAAATCGTACTAATTCGCTCTCAAGGGAACCATGGACACGGACCAAATATTAGACCTATTCAGCCTAGGTGATTCAGGACCGAGCCTGATATCAGATAAACCTCAAGGCACTATGGAAGGACGAGAGGAGGATATGGTGGATGTCGAAACAGGAGACGTGAGAGCACCAGGCAAGAAAGCATGGGCAGATGACCTAGGAGAACTCTGGGATAACCGCCAGTACGAGGAAAGCTTTGACTTAGACGGCTTTCTCAAAACGATGCAATAACGATTGCGATTTAAAGATTAATGAGAGTCCCCAGAGGGCCAAGTATCAGGAGCAGCATCGATAATAACGGCATGCCTATGGGCAAAACGTACCGGTATTATATTGTGTAGTATTGTATAATAGGAAGAACTAGCGATATAATGCATTAACTGCCCTCGCAGTAGGGCTCGACTAAATATATTGACTTCACTAGAAGATGCGTTGCTGGCTCGAAGCATATCAAGTTTGACCAATCTTTAAAGCTGAAAAGCAGGTTAGATTTACTCAAGATTATATTTAATTTTAAGAGACTACCTAAGGCACACATGTCTTCTGGGATATTGTTTGTAGGCCAGCCTGTCTAGTGACTTTTTGGACGGCCCCACCTTTGGTACATACTACCATATTAGGCAAAATTCCCGGAAGCGCTCGCTCTGCCCCGCGCCGAACCTCCGGCTTCGCTAATATTCTCCAGCCGGACAACAACGCGGCTTGCTAGCTTCCGAATACATTGCATCCGGAGTTTCCCAAGCAGCCCGGATGAGAAATCACAGATCAGTAGGTACCTAGTTTGTGTAAGCACCTATGCAATATCCCGAAAATCTTTTTTGATACACTTAATTCAATATTCATTTCAGATCCTATTTTCTGTAAAACCATAAATTTCCATGGAATCATTCTTGATCCCAGGAAGAATTCAGCTTGAAATCGACGCAGACCATCGCCGGATCCCAGATGAAAGCAGGTGCGTATTAGCCCTAATATGCCTGTAGCTCTAGCATTGCCTCCTATCTGCAAACCATCGCGAAACTCCTCCCTATTGAACTTCTTTGCTTGCCTAGCACAAGCACCATGCCCTCTTCCTCTCCCTCTCCCCCCCAAACCCTAACCCTCGCCCTACCTTCGCAACCGCAGCACATATATATACCTCGATCAGATATTCAGCGGTCCATTCACATCATCCACCGCACTGACTGCCACCCTGATCTTGTCAAACCCCAGCCTTGTATTCATATCGTGTGTGTACATCTCCGCAGCATACAGCGCCTTAGGAATTCTCGCCGCCTTTTCTGCTTCCCTGTGAATTGGCACCGCATGTTCCGCCCACCAATCGTCATCTACTGGCCATCGGATCTCCTCCTTGACCCTCGAGTGATTTAGGAACAGGGTGCCGGCGTGCTCGTTGGCTAGCCCTCTCTCTGTGAATATGGTTAGTGGTAGGCGATATAGTTCGGTTTCACCGCTAAGAGCGCCTACTTGCTCGTGGGACATGGCGGGGATGGAGCCATCGCTCTCTTCGGGTGCCTGTTGGGGTGTTTCTGTGGTCCCTCGCGTCATGAATTCGCACTCCACGATGTAGAGAGCTAGTTTAGGCCTATTGGGAGACCACTTTTTGAGCGCCCGCTCCTTCTTGGTGAGGTCGTGCTGGAGATCCACAAGGCGCCTCTCCACCCACAGAATGCGCTCTTCGCCGTTGGTTAGCGTGAGCTCGACTTTGAGTAACTTGGATGGGGTATACACATAGGCGAGTCTCCGGGTTACGGCGGTCATGCCACCTTCGATGTTATCGTGATGTGTTATTTTGTCCAGTTCGGCATTGGCTTGTTCACGATTTACAAACAATCCAGGCAGCTCCTGGGGGTCGTTCTGGTTGGTCCTAGAGAATAATACATATTTCCATTTGTATGAATAGGAACCTTTTCCATCTACCCCGGCTTCTGTAGACACGCCGCCACGTTTATATTCCGACGTAATAGGTGCTGCGTCAGCGGATTGGTCTTGGTCTGTGACGACCGGCTCTGCGATAGTCGGGTTAGCGATTAGAATGTTTGCAGCGGCAGGGACATTCGTAGCAACAAGGACAGGGGAATTCGCAGCAGAACTGTCACTGCTTTCGGCCTCAGGAAGTATGCTTGATCGCGGATGACGATCAAAGTGAATAGGTATCCTGTTTTGCAACTCTGTGACGATGGTAAGGTTCTGATGTGGTGACATCGTTCGGCCTGGTTGGTTAGGTGTATTAATCCAGAACGGCAATTCTCAGCTCCTTAAGCCTCTAATATCTGCCTTGTGTCTACTATGGATCAACGCTAGATCGCAGGAACACTTCGGGATGGAAGGGGAGGTGGGAGGTGGATGTGTGTTAACTCTCCGGTGGCTAAGATTGCACCGGCGGTTCGAGCGGGTGTTTTTTTATATGGATTTCTAGGGGAGGTTCTTTTTTTTGTTCGTTGAACGAGTTAGAGAATTTTCTAATATTAAAATGCGTTGATTGGAGCTGGACTGAGTCTCTTGTAGTCTCGCTATATCTTGTCGAGCATTGACTAGGCCACCTTGAACACCAGCTACTTGCGCCTAGATGTCCCGGAGCAAGTCCAGCACGACATTGTGCTGGAAGGCTAGCACGTTCGCAAACCGAGGAGCTTGCTCGTGTATAATTCTAAATGCTTCGTTAATTTGTTCTAAATCACGTTGTAATTGATCGTTGTCCATGGTGTAGAGCAAGAAGCATGGAAACAACCTCGTTACCCCGCGAGGAGCTCTAGGATAACTCTGGAAACCTACGGCTATACATACTGAAAGTCCGGATGTCTTGGAATCTTGACAGATGTGCTGTGTTGTAATTTAGGGGAAATGTGTCTTGGGTTTCAGAAATACCAGGTCGAAGCAGTTATGGTTATATATCAAAAGGCACTGCTCTAAAAACTTTACAATACAAACTGGGTAGAACGACCTGTAAGACGAGTAGGTATGAAGTCACGAACTGGGAAGGATATTCGCAGGGGAGGCACGATTAGTTGCTATTGCTAGATTATGAGGGTTGTGGGTATCTATGAGCATGAGACTACTTCTAGCTAAGAATGAACAAAACAACCTGACTACCAGTAGGTACCTACTTGGTCTTGGATCTTGCCTTAAACGATCTCAGAGGATCGCTCTTACGACCAGTTATCCGCCTACCCCTGCCTTTTGAAACTCGGCTTTTCCTCCCCTTCCCATCAAGCACCTTCTTGAATGGTACGAATCCAACCTCGTTAGGGGTAATTGCTTTCTTCCCATCCTTTGGCAATAGGTAATCGGGGACATGTTTGAGATGGGGCTGGCTTCTTGTTGTGCGAAGTTCAACGTCATGGCGAAGATGACGGACTTCCAAAGGATTCTCCTCGAAGTGGCGCTTCAAACTTTCGCTCTTGAGTAACTCTTGCTTGAGCTCTCGTAGTCGCGCTTCTCTAATAGCTACTTTTGTAACGGCTCTTAGGGCATCGTTCATTCGGTAGCGGAATGCCTCTACGGCCTTCATGTCGAAGTTATAAGGTTTGACTTCGTGACCTCTCTTAGCCTGCTGCTTGATAATCCTAGATAACACCTTCTCGTCATTTTCTGCTGTCTCGATGCTAGTAGGCATGTGCTTCCGGAATTTGTCTTTGGGGACAACAAAGGATAATGCCATGCCCGTTTGCCCCGCACGCGCGGTCCGCCCTATCCTGTGCAGATACGAGCGAGATGATAGTGGCAGATCAAAATTTATGACAACTGCAACATTCTTGAAATCAATTCCTCGAGATATTCCGTAATTTTTATCGCGTCGTGAAGATTTGCGTTTTTTAGAGGTCGGAACAATAGCCTTGCTCTGTTCGCTGTTTTCCGGCGTCTCACTGGTAGCATCCTCACGAGCATTACTAGAGGTCCCCTCACTGGTCGATTCAAGTTGGTCCTTTTCCTCGCCTACCACCTCGTTTTCGTCGGAGGCAATGATAATGTTGTAAACTCCCCTGTTGAACTCCTCGACAGCATGGATTCGACAATTAACTGGTAGCTCAGAATTCAAGAGACAACTCCGGATTCCGAATTGCTCAAAGAACAATTTGAGTCGATAGCATCGGTCAACATCACTGACAAATATAATTGCCTTGCCTTTAACCAATTCTAACTTTACCATGCAATAAATAAGGAGAAACTTTTCGTCCTCGCCGCACCTATACATCCGTTAGCATTGCGATTCAAGATAGGAGATGCGCAGCCATACTTGACAACAAATTGCGAAACACCACCTCCATCTTCATTAGGCTCAACCAGATCCAGAACTGTGGGATTTCGACAGAAAAGCCCCTTTAGGGTGTCAACTTCCGGCGTGAGCGTCGCACTCATGAGAGTTGTCTGCAACCCTTTTGGTAGCGAAGATGCGACATTTTGTAGATCTTCATCGTAACCGTATGATAATACAAGGTCTGCCTCGTCTAAGACTAAGTGTGTAAGTTTATCCACGGACAGTGCGGAATTTTTGATGTTGTGCCATGTTCTGGCGGGTGTCGCAACCACTATATCAGCTGAATCTGAGAGGACGGCGCGCTGGGCAGCATCAGAAAGTTTGTCAGACAGCTTGGAGACCTTAATCTCTCTAGAGCAATACGAAGTGAGAGATTCCAGTACTTTGGCGACTTGTGTTACCAATTCGTTCGTTGGGACTAGGATAAGAGCGGCCGTATATGAATCCGATGAGGTCTAGCCTGGAATCAGTCCCATCTTGTCATATCTAATCTGATCTGAAGCAGGTTATGTTCATTCATACCTGTTTGCGCTTGAGGATAGCTTGGAGGATAGGTAGGGTATAAGCGGCAGTCTTCCCCGAGCCTGTCTTAGCCTTTGCCAGCACATCACAACCGTCGATAGCCAGCGGTATGGCCTTGCTTTGAACCAAGGTTGGCGTATGCCAGTTCTGGCGGGCTGTGGCTTGAAGGAGTCTGCTGTCGAGGCCGAAATCTGCGAATGTGGCGGTCATACCGGCGCTCGGGGTTTCAGCGTTGGCGGTTGAGACCGGCGCATCATTCTCGTCTAACTTGCGCTTCATGATGTTGGATTCACGGTAGCAAATAAGAGATTTTGAAGTTGGAATAGTTGGAACAGTTGATGTCTGCAGTGATAGCCCATCCACTTCAATAAAGTAGATAGATGGTCTAAGTGGGCTTAGAAAAATAATTCCTTATCTTATCATCAAGTACGGAACTTGGAACAACTATTTTACCTTGGACTCTTCTGGGACCTACCTACCTCGTACCAAAGTACCTAATCTAATGCCATTTTGCTTACATAAAAACTATGGAACTTTTACCTAAGCGAGTACATTAATAAGTTAGGTACATTGATACTTGTAGGTAGTTCATTTCAATCGCTGTCCTTAGCAAAACCCTTCCCCTTTTACCAATGTCCCTTTTACCGATGTGGAGCGCAATATTGCGTACTGCGTAATCATTCTCCGGCAGTTGAGATTGGATTGCTACATAGGGGTCCAGGCAGACAGGGTAAACAGTCTTGTCATTATTGGATGAATGCGCAAAGCCCACGCGCCTCTCCAACCCCCCAAGCCGATTCGAAGAATTTCATCCCCAATTCACGCCTTTCTAAAGTCGACTAGACGAACCAAGCTTTTGTGTCGACGTTCTTGGCACCGGCTGGCTCGTTAGGCTTGTTCCAATTGGTCAATACCGTGGTCGCCGCACCACTAAAGCCAAGAGTTTTGGCCAAGAGAACCCCTACGACTTTGGCTTCAATATAATTGGTGTGATTTTATCTGTGCTTCTCAACTCTCTTACATACGCTGCCGTTACATATGGTAACACCATCTGTACGCCAGCGGATAGTAACACTTTGCCTTGCTCGCCGCAGAGCGAGTACCTGGCCGTTTGATGGTTTCAAGTTTCATCGGTTCGGTGTAAGAATTTGCCAATCCATGAAGTTGGACATTTTATTCCGGGTACGAATTACTATCGCTATGAGGTTAGGTTGATATGATACGGTATGCTATGCTATGCTATGCTATGCTATGATATGATATGCTATGCTATGATATGATATAATACGTATAGTATCGATTGCGCAGTATCGATTGCGCACACTGTATATAGTAGTCCTATTGGGGCCTCAATCTCGAGTGACGAGGCTTGAACGAGGGTGCCACAGCAATTTCTTGTCGATTGGCAGATTGGACATCTTATCGCAACCCTAGGCGAACTAAACGATGTGAGGCTTCTTTTCCCGTGGGGTTTCAAGGATTTCGATAAGATCTACATACTAGGTTAGGTAGGTTACTACATAGTACATAGGTGCGATTGACTAGGCCGTCCCTGTTATTATAGCCTATCCCTTGTTGAGAAGGCCCGTAACCAGAGATGATGTTAAGATTCATCTCCGAGAGCCTTGACATTAACTTTAAGCTTCGAGGCTTTATTGTATCTTGCCTAGCTGGGATTTTGATAACTCAAGATTTGATAGATATCGACCTCTTCGCTTCATCATGCAGACATACTACGTACAAGAAACTGCAACGGCCAAACTGACTTACAGTAAATGACTTACAGTAAACGCCAAGCGCATATTATTAATAGTATATCTCTTCGTATTGTTTCCGTCTTGTCTTAGCTATTTCCAGAAGCGATGATCTCTGATAGGACTCTTCTTGGCACTGGTATCTTCTGGGGAGCCGAGACGGGTGCTCCTTGAGAAGAAACCCTGACATATTGGCAACTGGTTTGTTTCTGTTTCAACACGTTATTGTTTGTTTGCCCATCGCTAGGATAATAAATCCATATATGGTATAATTCATCACGTGCTGCACTTCCAAGTTCATCGAGCGGCGGTTTCATCTCTGGTCAGTGCTGAAACTGTGGCAAAGGGACTATGTTTCTACATACGATAACCCCAGACTCGCGTATGAGATCGATCACTAGGTAACGACACTAACGAACCGCACCCCGTGAGGCATTTTCGTAGCCGCGGTCTTTGGCTGTTTCTTGGCTAAATGTTACCATTGAATTATATCGAGGTAGCCGCAACGGTCGACTCGAAACAGATCGACATTATATCACGGACCTTTTGTCAGAGAGGCCCCTACCACCAATACGACACTTACTTAGCTTATGATAGGCCAATTCATCTGATATCAAAGCTTCGTTGTGGATGGAAAATTTAGCAGCTACTTTCATGACAAGCTTCAGATTGCCGCCTCGGGCTAAATAAGGTAACTCTGCTATTTCCTAGCTTGTTTGTGGATCATGTTCCTTGCAAAATGGTGTCTCCCGGGGCTGCTTCAGAGTTATAGCCAAGGGGTTTCGCTATGGTCGCCGGTGCCGTTTTCCTTTCCGCCCGTTGGAGAGTTGTATAAGTAGAGACTCATCCTCAACTCTTCGGAATAGAGTTTTGGTCTGTCACTCTCGCCACCTTCATCCTCTCTTCCCTCCCTCGCCTTCCGCAGATCTCTTTTTCCTTCCTCCTTTTTTTAATTTATTCTCTTCAATACAGCTGGGCTGTACAAAGGGTCATAATGGCACCCAATTTCAAGAAGATTAAGGTGTTCAGCCATAAGAAGGAGACAGCTCCGTCTAACTATATCGACTCTACACTCGATGGGTCTTCAACCGAACATGACCTAGAGGCGGGTAGTTTCTTGACTGAGGCTCAAAGGAATAATGCGGTCAACAATAACAATCACGGCGACAACCCGTACTTAGACGAGTACAAAGCGTGAGTACCTCAGCAGAAATGTATTTGATATCGACTAACTTATTTATTAGTTTGATTCGTTATGTTGATACGTACAGAGATCCCCATGCGGAAGTGGGGGAGGAAGACTTTTCCGAACAAGAACAGAAGAGGCCATGGTGGGCATTCTGGAGGGGTGGCAAGAGTGGCTATGCTCGCGCGTCTCTGAGTGACTTTGAGACGCCGAGTGACTGGTTGAACACAGACATCAGAGAGGGTCTCTCATCGATGGAAGTCGAACGGAGACGGAAATTCTCTGGGTGGAATGAGTTGTCTTCTGAGAAGGAGAACATGTTGATCAAGTTCATCGGTTTCTTCCGCGGTCCTGTCCTATACGGTTCGTGCTGCGTTGCTAACTGTCCTTACGTGTTCATCAACTGACAAACTCGATAGTGATGGAAGTTGCAGTTATCATTGCTCTGGCTATGGAAGACTGGCTCGATGGCGGTATCATTATTGGTATTCTGCTGCTGAACGCTGTCGTCGGTTGGTACCAAGAAAAGCAGGCTGCCGACGTTGTCGCCAGTCTGAAGGGAGATATTGCCATGAAGGCACGTGTCGTCCGCGACGGCCAGGAGAAGGAGATCAGAGCCAGGGAGCTAGTACCAGGTGACATCGTAAGTTATTTTTCACCATCCCTCCTTGAGCTCAATCAAGAAGCTAATTATGTTAGATTATCATTGAAGAAGGCTATGTCGTTGCGGGTGACGCTCGTCTTATCTGCGAATACGACAACCCCAACGGACAGGCTCAGTACCAAGCGGAACTTTCAGCTCAAGATGTCACATCGCCGCGCCGGGAGAAATTTGAAGAAGCTGAAGAGGAGGGAACTCCCCATGTGGGCCACGCAATCGTTGCCACCGACCAGAGTGCTATCACCGGTGAATCCCTTGCTGTTGAGAAGTACATGACCGATACCGTTTACTACACTACTGGTTGCAAGCGTGGCAAGGCATACGCCGTGGTCACCTCTGGCGCACAGGCTTCGTTCGTGGGAAAGACTGCTAGCCTCGTTCAAGGAGCTAAGGACTCTGGTCACTTCAAGGCTATCATGGACTCTATCGGTAGTACTCTGCTCGTTTTGGTCGTCTTCTGGATCCTCACTGCATGGATTGGTGGATTCTACCGCAACCTCCACATCGTCTCTCCAGAAGAAAGCTCAAACAACCTGTTGACCTACGCGCTAATTCTACTAATCATCGGTGTCCCCGTTGGTTTGCCCGTCGTTACCACCACTACCTTGGCTGTTGGTGCCGCATACCTCGCTAAGGAAAAGGCCATCGTACAGAAGCTGACAGCTATCGAGTCGCTCGCTGGTGTCGACATTCTCTGCTCCGATAAGACTGGTACTCTAACGGCCAATCAGCTTTCCGTCCGAGAACCTTTTGTGATGGAAGGTGTTGACATCAACTGGATGATGGCTGTTGCTGCTTTGGCTTCGTCTCACAACATCAAATCCCTCGACCCCATCGACAAAATCACTATTCTTACTCTTAACCGTTATCCTAAGGCGAAGGAGATGATTAGCGAGGGCTGGAAGACTGAGAAATTCACCCCTTTCGACCCTGTTTCTAAAAGGATTACTGCTATATGCACTCACAACGGGTAAGTAAATATTCCATTGAATGTACCAACTTTGTCTGGTTATCCCTTTCTATAAAGGATACTATACTAACTGCGCACCCAGTGTACGATATACTTGCGCAAAAGGTGCGCCCAAAGCTGTACTGGCATTGACGAACTGCGACGAACAACAAACTGCCCTCTTTAAGGAAAAGGCCACTGAATTTGCTCGCCGTGGCTTCCGTTCCCTTGCTGTTGCTGTTCAGGAGGAAGATGGCCCATGGGAAATGCTCGGCATGATCTCTCTTTTCGACCCTCCCCGTTCCGACACTGCTCAGACTATCGCTGAGGCTCAAGCTCTTGGTCTCTCTGTCAAGATGCTTACTGGTGACGCTATCGCTATTGCTAAGGAGACTTGCCGCATGCTTGCTCTAGGCACGAAAGTCTACAACTCTGACAAGCTACTACACAGTGATATGGCTGGTACCGCGATCCATGACCTCTGCGAGAGGGCTGATGGCTTTGCAGAGGTATTCCCCGAACACAAATACCAGGTAGTTGAAATGCTTCAACAACGAGGTCACTTGACGGCTATGACTGGTGATGGTGTCAACGACGCCCCGTCATTGAAGAAATCGGATTGTGGTATCGCCGTCGAAGGCGCTACTGAGGCTGCCCAGGCCGCTGCTGACATCGTGTTCCTCGCGCCAGGCCTCAGCACTATCGTCTCAGCTATCAAGATCTCCCGGCAAATCTTCCAGCGCATGAAGGCTTACATCCAATACCGTATTGCCCTCTGCTTGCATCTTGAGATCTACTTGGTTACCACTATGATCATCATCAACGAGACTATCCGTGCGGACCTAATTGTTTTCTTGGCTCTATTCGCTGACTTGGCTACGATTGCTGTTGCTTACGATACTGCTCACTACGAAAAGCGACCGGTGGAGTGGCAACTACCTAAGATCTGGATCATAAGTGTTGTCCTCGGCACTCTACTTGCTCTCGGTACCTGGATCCTTCGCGGCACGCTCTGGCTCCCCGGTGGCGTTATCCAGGAATACGGCAGCGTGCAAGAAATCATCTTCCTTCAGGTATCGCTCACAGAGAACTGGCTCATCTTCGTCACGCGTGGCTTTGAGACATATCCTTCGTGGCAACTAGTCAGCGCGATTTTCGGTGTCGATATCCTTGCGTCTCTCTTCGCTGCCTATGGTTGGTTCTCGGGTGGCCAGGGCGAGCCCTCCAGCATAATGTCGTTCTCTTCTAAGCTATCTGAGAACGGCTCCACGGATATCTTGACCATCGTTGTCGTCTGGATATACTCAATTGCATGTGTCATCGTCATTGCCATCGTCTACCAGATGATGACTCGTATGCAGAGTCTCAACGACCTCGGCCGAAAGAAGAGATCGGCCCAAGATACCATGATGGAGAACATCCTTACACATCTAAGTAAGGTTGCGCTAGAGCATGAGAGGGATGAGAAGGGTGACCGCTTTTACATTGCACAGAAGCAAGTGGTCGAGGAAGAGGAATAGAAATAATGGCGAATTAATGTATGAAAATAATTGTATTCTTTTATAGTGTCCTATACGGCGTCTTTGCAGGTGCATCTGATACCAACAGTCTTTACAGGAAGAAGATTAAATAAAACTTCCTTTTTTTTCTTTCTCTCTCAATCTTGCTTATCTAGCGGTCTACCATCTGCAGCTAGTTGTTTTTTGCTCAAAGTGATGTATTTTACCCCTGATTGAAGTTATCGTTGTTGTACTGATTTGTCTTCTCCTATCCCCTATTCTTGAGTAAAATTAGACTCATAGCCTCAACCAAACATGAGATATCTAAATACGAGCTGTAGATGAATGTTGTGTGCACATGCAAATTTGAACATTTAAATGAATCTTTTTTTTTTTTTTTCAATCGCGCAACATGTTCCTTATAGAGTTGCATACATACATACATCTATGTCGTGTACCTACATGAATGCATTGCATGTAGGTATCCGCGAACTCGACTATCTTGCCTAAGAGATGCAGAAAGCTTGTATGTATGTATGTACTATGTATGTACCTACCTGCTATACTTTACTAATCTATTGATATTGTTTACTACATAAATGCCTACCTAAGTTAGGTATGCATATAACTACCTAATATATATATATACACTTTGAATGTCTATTAAAGCCTAAACATTATATAGTATATATAGTATTATTTAGATATTCCAAGTAAAAGGCTGAAGAGCAAGGTACTTTTTGAAAGTTGCACAGTCGGAAAGTCGGTCATGGCTGTACGTACTACGATACTACTGTATTTTGTGCATAATGGTGCACACGTATCCCAGTAACTAAGATCAACTTGAGACAAACGATAATCCTAGACCGGTTAGCGGCTCGTGAGTTATCGTGTTGGCGGGGCAACAGCAACGGAAAAAGCCTGGACAGAACAGCGGTGATTTCCTAGATTTAGCGGCGGGAACTTGTATATTTGGTGTATGTTTGGTGGGGCGATAGTGGTTGGCTGGCTATCCCCCACTCCCCACCAAGCCACTCTCCCATGTCTGTTTACCTCCGCCCGCCATCCAAATAACCTCCTGCAACCTGCAACCTGCAACCTGTGATCAAGAACCTCGGTCAGTGTTATTATCATCACAACATTTGTTCTCTTCTCATTCTTGTAGAAGGAAGATAATCTTTTACTTGGTAATTATACCATTTGCCATTGACGTGTCTCCTTTATTTTATTTTTCTTCTTGACCGCCTGACGATATACTATTTCTTACCTTTTTAGCAACCGTCCTCAGCCTTTTCGGAGCTACCTACTTTCAGCCGCTTGTAAACATTACAGCTGTCACCGATTGGTGCTTGGTGTTTGGTGCTTGGTGCGTCAACCTAGCAACCCTATAACTTTCCAAAACAACTCTTGAACGCCATTCTCGAATTGTGCATCTCGTAGGCCGCATATTCTGCACCGCACGGCCACGGAACTTTATCATACATCTCATACCTACATCTTGTAAATCGGTTTTTATTTCTCCATTGGGAGACATGAATTACCAATAATCACGACATAATTTGCAAGTTTTCCTTTCAGTATGGCCTCTGATGGGCAACCTGTAAGTAAAGAAAGAGGTGTATAAACAATACATGATAGGAAATTAACCGTTAATCGTTAATCAATAGGTAACGCAGCCTTTGCGTATTGCTAAGAACAGCACCCCATCTACATCGCCAATTAAGAGTAGCATTCCGCGTCCGTTGTCTGAGATCTCAGCCACTGAGCAGCGACGAAACTCACCAAGCTGGAACCCTTCAAAGGTAATTACATTCTGGATCCAACTCAAATTCAAATTGACTCTGCTAACCCTTGTGGCTTTAGAAGATGGGTCTTAATACTGATTCATCTCCATTCCAGTCATCTCCTCTGGACGGCACGACTTCACCGCGCCTGTTTTGGCAGAATCGTAATGTCAATAATCGCATCGAAAACGACTTGTATGGAGGTCGTGCTGGTTCCCCGTCGCCCACTAGGCGTTCTTCTATCGAGCGACTGCAGAAGGCGTCGCGTGTAAAAAATAGTACCATGTTCGCTCGAGAACAGAAACAAGAATACGACCCCATGCGTATACCAGCAATAGAGCGTCCTCTTGCTAAGGTCCAAGGCAATGCTTTCACAAACAACTTTCGATCAAGCCATGGCCGCTCAGATAGCCAGACCAGCATCTCTCTATATACCCCTACAAAGACTGGCTCTCGCTCATCTCCCGCTCCTGTTGGCTCTCAACCCCCCAGCCCAAGCAAGGACCAAGCATCTCCGACTAAATCATCACTTTCTTCAGCCCGCCTTAAGAGCAGTCAAGATTTACATAGTGATGTTTTCTCGGATATGTCATTTGAAGATCATGAACTCCCAACTGGCAAGTCACTCCACCGCCACGCCAAGTCTGTTACCTTCGATGCTGCCCCACCTCAGATTAATGAGTACGAAATGGCAACCCCTGATATGTCTTCTGTTGGCACAAACTCGCGGGAAGGTAGCTATGAGGATGATGAGGATGACGATGATGACTATATCTATGGTCATTATCCTGGGGGTGAGATGGACGCACAGGATGATAGTTTTGATGCGACACTAGAAGACACAGACAAGACTCCAGTTGTCGGGCCTGATGATTGGCGTCAAGATCGGGACACGCGCTTTGATAGCAGTCCTATGCCTGAGGGTACCTTATCACAAGCCATGTCTCCACAATCACAACATTCCCGTACAGATTCATCAACATCTAGCAGTGAGCATCGACCTCTACCTCCCCTTCCGGGAATGGGCCATGCCCGCTCCCAGTCTGCATCTTCAAATGGACTGTCTGCTACCGCAGAACGTATGTTAGGCTCTCCTCGAAGTCTCCCTTCGCCACCCCCTGCTTCAATAAGCAAGTCTGATATCCATAATATTGGCAATGGTAGCATGTCGTTGGAAGAGCGACTTAAGCTCATGATGCTGGACGAGACTAGTCCTAAGTCTGATAGCTCTGCAAAGACTTTTGCTGAACAGCAGCGGGAGCGTCGCATGCGACGAGCTGGAGCTCGTGATAGAGTTACAAGCCCCACTCCAGGTCATAGCGATCATAAAGACCATGAAGACCATGAGGATCATGAGGATCGTGAAGACCGGGATGACCATGAAGACCGAGAGGACGAAGGTAATGAGGAGGACGACACTGTTGGTGATCTATCCGGATTGGATATGGATTATCAGCTTCCGAGCATTTCTCGACAGTCCATCCTGCGTCGCCTTAATGGCAACAAGGAACTGGATCAAGAATCAGAATTCACATTTATGTCATCAGGCCCTGAACCGAGCCTCACCCGCGACGCTCCTTATGATCCTGATGTCCCTATCGCTAGTATCGAAGATTCGATTCTTGATGATGGTGAGGAGTCGAATGAGGACAGTGTGGTTCATCATGAGAGTGAGGATGATAAAGGTGACGTCTATGACCTATATCAACGGTCTGAAGATGAAGATGCAATGTCCCAAAAGGATGACCAAGATGACCAAGATGACCAGGACGATAGTGATGATCACAGTGATCACGACGACGACGATGATGATACGGAGAGTCAATACTCCGACGAAGTTGAGAAGCCCCAGCCCGTGGATGCACAGCCTGAAGAAGAGTCGGTCACGACTCCTCGAGCGGCTAGTCCAGCTCTTGAAGGTGCCATTACAAACTTTAGCGCTACCCTTCCCCAGATAACAAGTTCATCTAAGGACGTAGAATTCACTCGTAGCTTGCAATCTCATATGCTCCCCAAGCCCAAGGAAGCAGGTGCTCTTACGCACTTAGAGAGTCACAAAGCTTCGGATGCGGACTCTTACTTAGAACGGTCAAAGACCCCGGAAAGGCGTATATCGAAACCTGTATATGATGGTTCCGGATGGGGAGATCCCGAAGAGGATGAGTACGAATCAGAAGAGCCAGGTACTCCTGAATCTGTGATCCACCATCCTATATCCGATGATGAGGATGAGGATGAGGAATACGAGGATGAAATTGAGGAGGTTGAGGAAGTCGAGGAGGTTGAAGAAGTTGAGAAAGTCAGAGAAGCCGAAGAAGTCGATGAAGCTAAAGAGATTGAGGAATTTTTAATCGAGTCACCTGCCATTCCTGAGCGGGAAGCCACCATTAAATCTTCTTCAGGCTCTAAGCTGAAGACTCGCGCTTCTGCCACCCCGTCCGACATTATTTCCATGCGTGAGGCTCGCCGACAAGTAAGCCGAGAAGTAGCACCTGTGGTCCCACCAATTCCTGACCGGCATCGTAACCGTCTTTCTCGGGATTTGGCACCTGACACTCTCGAGGTCCCTACTGGTGACGATTTTATCGAGCGACATCCAAGCTTTAAGCAGCGTAGTTTAACTTTAGATCTTGACTTAGGCCTCAGTCTTGATCAGGACTTTGAGCGGGTCATCGAGGCACAAAAGGTCAATACCCAATTTCTTCCCCACGCCTACCACTCCCTTGCTGCAATCAATGAGCCAAAAAGACAAGCGTCAGGCTCCGATCCTCAAAACACCAATAAAGTTAATTCGTACCGTGGAATAACTAAAACTAACATTGAATTTCCACGACAGCGAGGTTACCTTATGCGCCAGAACACAAAACTCGTTACTGCAAGCGACAAAGAGACGGAAGAGGCTCGAGCTGGCACCCGTTCTGCCGGAAACTCTCCAATTAAGCAGCAACGCCCCCAGTCGTGGACTGTTGAGCCTTGGAATGGTAAGCACAGGAAAAGTATCAAGAAGAGACACGCACCAAGTATCAACGGTCAAGCGCCACCTCTACCAGGTCATGAAAGCAATTCGACAGCGATGAATTCGTTACCCGAGGAAGATAGCCACGAGCTAGCGACGGAAGAGTGTGGCGAGCGAGGCAGATTATTTGTCAAGGTAATGGGCGTGAAAGATCTTGATCTCCCCCTGCCCAAGAGTAAGTATTTCCTGACATTGATACCCAAATGTTTTCCTACATAAGTACTAACCTCCCTCAAGATGAACGAACATGGTTTAGCCTTACTCTCGACAACGGAGTACACTGTGTGACCACATCCTGGTTGGAGCTGGCTCGTAACGCTCCGATCGGCCAGGAGTTTGAACTTGTTGTTCCCAACGAGTTGGAATTCCAACTTACCCTCAACGTGAAGTTGGAGAGGCCTCCGCCTGAGCGCGTAACAGTCGCGCCAACCAAGACGTTGAAACCCAAGCCATCTACCTTTTCTCGTGTCTTCGCTAGCCCCAAGAAGCGAAAGGAGATGGAAGCTCGTCAACGCGCCGAAGAGGAAGCCTACGCCCAGGCCCAGCGCGACGCCGCTACGAAGCAGAGGAATGTTGTACCCACGGCGTGGGACCTACTATCTCCTCTTGCGGCAGAGGATGGAACCTTCGCACGCGCATACGTCTGTCTTAAGGAGCACGAATCCCGCTGCTATGGACGACCTTATATGGCAGAGATTGCGACTTTCAACGAATGGGCTACCGAGGAGCCCAACTTCGCCAACAGCGTCAAGAGCAAGCGCTCTGGAGTTCCTAGCAACTCGGTTGTGCGCCGCGCACCCTACAAGATCGGCAAACTAGAAGTGCAACTTCTCTTCGTGCCGCGACCTAAAGGATCGACGAATGATGACATGCCAAAGAGCATGAATATGTGCATCCGCGAGTTGAAGGCAGCTGAGGAGAGATTGTCTAGGAACTGGGAGGGTCACCTAAGCCAGCAAGGAGGAGATTGCCCCGTAAGTGTCACTTTTAACACACAGCCTGGAAGCATTCGAGTACTAACCTGATGGATCAATAGTATTGGCGTCGCCGCTACTTTAAACTTGTTGGTACTAAGCTTACCGCTTATCACGAAACAACCCGTCAACCTCGTGCCACAATCAACCTCTCCAATGCCAAGCGACTGATTGACGATCGACGGCAGCTGACTGACCCCGAGACCACGGGTCGCGGCGGTAAAAGACGTCGCTCTGCCTTCGCGGAAGAGGAAGAAGGTTACATGTTTGTTGAAGAGGGTTTCCGTATCCGCTTCAACAACGGCGAGATTATCGATTTCTACGCCGACACCCGCGAAGACAAGCAGGGCTGGATGAAGGTCCTTGGCGATGTCATCGGTCGAACTGGAGAAGAGGAGGACACCACCAACGCTCCCAGTTCCCGCAGGAAGTGGTGTGAACTCGTTCTTAAGCGGGAAGAGATGCTTCGAAAGCGCGCCGAGACCAGACGAGTTCATTCGAGGACTAAGAGCATGATCGTCTAAGTCTCAGATAGCTCTGCTAAGCTCTCATGATTGATATCCCGCGACAGAAAAACGAAGAAACGACAATATTATGCCCAGTATGATCTGTTGACCTGCATACGAATGAATTCATGATCATCAACACGCTACTGAGTTCGCCCTTCTATCTTGCCATTTTGCCATAACTCCGGTTTTGTTCCATCGTCCACTTGGTTCTTTCGACGGACACTCCGCAACCAGTTTGGCTTACTTATTACACACATCCTACACAACTTTGTCGTTCTGGCTCCGGAAGTACAGGATTCTTTTTGTTTCATAATTCTGGTTCCTTGTACAGGCCTAATTAATCACAACGATTGATTGTTACTTTGTTTTTGTTTTTTTCAGTATGCCTGGATGCTCACGCAACAAAAAGATGTTTTTTTTTTTTTCGCAGAGATTGGAGACGGAGAGAGTGAGAGACAAGAGAGTTTGGAAGGTTATTCCTCCCAATACATCAACCAAGTAAGCCTGGAGCTATGAAGGCTGGTCAACTCCGCCCCCTTCAGGAAGTGATGGCATGCATGGCGCCCGGGCGAGAGGGGAGTTTTTACTAGGGACGTTAGGTCTTGAGGATTTGTAGTTAGGGATTACTCGTTGCTAGCTTGCTTATCTGTATTCTGACAGTAATAAATTCATTACTCACAACATGCTCGGCTCAGGTCTGCCCCTAAATTCAGTGCCAGTTATGTACCTAGTAGCCGTGTATCAAGGTTTATATACATATACCTACATAGGTACCTAGGTAGATAATGTAATAGTGATGATGAAATACCAAGTACCAGTAGGTAGGGGAGTGAAACCCTTTCAAGTATATATATATTTATATGAACTCGACTAGCCGGGCAAGCCTCTTTCACTCCGTAGGTAGCACACATCCGTCATAATTGCGCCCGAGATCCCTACGCAATCGATCCACCCATCCGGGCAAAGGAGATGATGGGGTATCAACTGCGAATTTCAAACCACTTTACCGCCACGACCTCTAACCTGCCTACCGTCCTCAGGGGTCATATTTTAATGTCGTATCAACCCTTTTTGTGAACAAGAAAGGGGAAAAAGCAATTACTGGTATCTTAATCCTCGGCCACGGATCCGGTGTCTCTCCTCTTCTATGCGGGGGGATTTCATCAACCTAGGGTCCACACGGGAGCTTTGACCAATACCTGTCGTCCTCTGACCTCGACCGCCACGAAGCCTGCGAACCGAACCTTGCTGGGGTCTTTGGAGTGTATTTGCTGCTGTTGCTGTTGCTGTTGTGCCGCTGCTGCTGCTGCCGATGATGTCGTGTCAGTAATAACCGAAGCCGTGCTGCCTTTCCTGCTCCCGGGATACGGTGTCCCGCTGAGCATATTCAACATACCACTTTTTGTCTTTTCTCGTTTGGCCGCAGCGGTCTTTTCGCTGTCCTTGTCGTTGCTTTCCTCGATATCTTCTACTGGTTCTGGCAACGGAGGTAATCCGGTTTTCTCTGGTTCCATGAAGTCGGGTTGTATGGGGTCTCCGGGTAGTGGATATGTGATGGCGACGTCTCGGCTTTCCATGGGCAGATGGCTCGCAATGCCCACTACCAACTCGACGATCATCGATGCGCTTCCATCTACACCGGCGGGTGGCGGGTCCGTCAGATATTGAAACAATGTTGCCGTGAGGTTTCCGGTGGCCATTTTGGTAAAATCTGCTTTGTAGTCATTGCCCTCAGGCGCCTGAAGCTGATGTTGGAGTCCCTCCAAGGTAGCCATTCGCCAGTTCACGACCTTTGCTGTCAACGCTTCGTACTCCTCCTGGCTGCTTAGCGTGTACGAAAATCTGCGGATATTCTGCTCTATTTGCTTGAGTTGGGAACTAAGGTGGACGTCTAGGGCGGGGTGGAAGCATTTGTTGAAGATTTCGTCTACGATCCACCGAACAATTACTGCACGCCCAACAGCAGTCATCTCCTGTTTGCCTGTCTTAATCGCTTCCGGGCTGACATACCTCTCGATCCAGCCGGGTAACGTTCGCCAATCCTTGCGAATGTTAAATGATAAATTGTTTATCGCGCCGTTTAGTCGATTGAACCGCGTAGAATACTCATTATCATCGAGAGACGTCCGTGATTGAGACATTCTCTGGTTAGCAACTGCGTTCTGCAGCTGTTCAACCTGGGAAGTTAATTGCTCGATTTGAGACTTGCCATCGAAATATAACCTCTTGACGTTCTTATATTTGATTACTAGTATATGAGGTCAGCAATCCGTTCAACGGATTATCAATGTATCTCTTACATAAATCTTTGAATTGCTTCTCTGGGTCAGCCTCCCGCTCGGCATTCGTCGATGGTTGAGGACTATTTCGACCGCCTTCGGGAACAGCCCTATCATACTGTCCTTGTTCTTGCACGCCGCTGGTACGGTAATTTTGTGGAGCACCGGAGATACTTGGCGTTGGCGGGAGAGGGTTCATCGCATTTATGGGCCCTTGGCTATGTCTATAGCCGGGTGGTGGCCCTGGGGGAGGCTCAACGGAACGTATCTGCTTTTCGTTATCCCCCGATCTACGGCTCTGCCCGGACCCTCCAGGTAGTGGTGCCATATTCTGGGCTTGTCCTGTTCCCACTGATGCTTGCTGTTGGTTTTGTGAGCTCAGCAATTCCTGTTGTACGTAGCTCACGGCGGGTGAATTCTGTACAGACTGAGAGTTGGCTGGCGGTTGTTGCTGCTGCTGCTGGTAGTCTGATTCAGAATCAGGCGACTCATGTGACACCTGAGAAACGGTTTCGGGATTAGGCGGCTGAGAGCTCGCCGTGCTAAGATGCCCAGTGAAAAGAGATGGCCGGCGACCTGACTGATATTGTTCGTAAGGAGATGCGTATTGGTAGTGATTCTGCGCTGGGTCGACAACGATCTGGCCGCCGTATAATTGCTGTTGCTGCTCCGCTTGAGCCTGAGCTTGCGCGTGAACCTGCGCCTGCGCCTGTGCGTGGGCTTGAGCTTGGGCCTGCGCTTGTAACTGGGCTTGGTGCTGGGCGATAGCTTGCTGTTGATAAGAAAGGTCTTCGCGGCTATATGGTGAGTTGTCGACGTCAGGATCGGAATCGGCAGGAACTTGTCTTATAGTATTCTGGGACGGCTCTGTGTAATTCTGTGAAAGCATATCTTGGTTAGAACGGGCGGTACAGTAGGGGTCCTCAAGGTCGCGTACAGGTTGGATGGGTGAGTGGTGGCTACGCGAGCTACTTTGGGGCGAGACCCAGTCGGGGTGGTCGATAGATCGCGACAACAAAGGGTTGCCTCTGACGACAGGGGTGTTGCTTGCCCGTTTGGAGGGTCGGCGATTTAAACCAGAGCTGTTGTCGTAGGAAGCGTCCTGATAGTGGTCTGAATTGGGCCGATTAGAGGAAGAAGAGCCGGAGAGGATATTCTTAATTAGCTTTCGTGTTGATCGCTTTGGCTCAGTGGGGGCGGTTTGGCTATGCGGTAGAGATGGTTGACTGGAGGATACGGAGGGAGAAGAGACGGTCTGAGGTAAGTTGTCGACCGAGCTCGATGCGATGCCAAATGGATGTTGTGTCTGCAAAGGATTTAATTGTGAGTATCTTGCAGACTGAGACCTTGAGACTAATTCGGCGAAATTATCGTGGGGCTGTCGTCGCCCAGTGTAAGCAGCGGGGGTTTGGTTGAGGGGTATTGAACTAGTGGGTAAATTATTTTGATTGTTTCCGTACGCCTCAAGAGGCTGGGCTGACTGGCTTTGTTGCTGGCTACCTAATTGATTATGGTGCGTATGTTGGTGCCCGCGTGGTGAAGTATGTGGAGTTTGCTGCTGTGATTGTGATTGACCGGCCCTCGTATCGACCTGTTGTTGTTGTGGTGGTGGCAGCTGTTGTTGAAAAGACTCACTGGAACTAAGACCGATTGACGAGGCTGAAGAAGGTGTGGTATTAGAATCGTTAACAGATACCGGTATAGGCACTGAACTGGTCACGGGAACTGTAATAGGGACACCAGCCGCAGATACTCGACGACCTCCGGGGTTTAGTGGACTAGACCCAGTCTGAGAGGCAGAAATAGAAGTAGAACCAGCTTGCTGTTGATGAGGGAGATGGGGCGGTGCAGTAGCCCCACTGCCCGCCACCTGGTGTTGATGAGACGAAAGTTGCTGCTGCTGCTGCTGCTGCTGTTGTTGTTGTTGTTGATGTTGTTGTTGATGTTGCTGAAGAAGATGGTGGTGGTGGTGGTGGTGATGCTGCTGCTGCTGCTGCTGTTGCTCGACCAGGTTATGCTGGGAACGGTTACTGTGCTTTCCAATGCGACCGAAGGAGGGCATAATGGTATTATTGTATCAGGTTTACGCTCCCTAAACCGAACGGAATTGGGCCGTTTGTCGCGCTCTATCTACCTCTCTTTTGTCTCTCCCACAGCCGCAAATCTCGGGGCAGCGCAGACAAGGAGAAAGCGAGGCAAAGCACAAACAGGAACAGGACCGAGATCAACCGTTTCGTACAGATAGGATTTTTGGATAGACAAAAACGATCTGGCTTATTTTCTGTTCGAGGTGTGCCGTCTGATTCCCATATGCACCCCTCTAATCAAGCTACAGGGGTCTCCCGTTTTCTTGCGGGGGGCTGTGCTGAAGATGTCCAGGTTGGAACCTAGATGTTTCCTGTCCCGCTTTGCACTAAGTATTACTTTCGTACTCGTACTTTGGTTTGCTTTGCTGTTCTATAACTAGGCCGGTCGTCTGAGTAGATGAATATACGAATAGATGAATGAATAGATCTGAACTGTTACGATTGTAGACGAATAAATCGAGTGAGGTTTCAAAAAGATGATTGACCTCGCCCGTGTCTTCTCCGTTTTCTAAGACGGCGTAGTTGACTGAGCTACTCTGGCTGCTAATAGGCTGTGCGAATCGCGATCGGCATCAAAAACTGCGCGTCGAAAAAAGACCCAATCCGACATAAACAACAGAAGCCCCGACGTCAGAGAGAAGGCGTAGCAACAAAGTAGAGCGATAAAGAAAGGGGCATAGGGCCGAGTATTCATTAGCAACACAAAGACATAAAACAAATATACAAAGCGCCAGTAAAAATCTAAGATAGGCAGCGCCCAGGGGCGAAGGATGAATGTTGAACGAGGATGGGAGGAGAAATTATGAAATTATGAGGACTTTCATCATTTAGCTTAGCTTAGCTTAGGAGGTAGTCAATTAACAAAAAAAAAAAAAAGAAAAAAGAAAGAAAAAAGTACTATTAGTAGGTTGCGACAGGGCTTTCCTGCTTCTACAATAGGCAGTTTCCACTTGTTAACCCAACCTGCAGGTCTTTTCCTCCAATGACACAACTTAATTCTTATATTGTATAGGTAGCTACGCTCTGAGGTAACTAGCATTAATTACATGTATGTAGCATATACGGATTACTTTTGACCAACCTAACCTCAAGTGGAAGCACTTGGTTACCTAATATTATGTGAGTAAGAAACCTTAGGTATACATGCAGTACTAAGCTCACTAAACAGAATAATGTGAGTTTCTACAAACTCTCCCAACTCAATTTCGAATGGCCTAACCTACACCTTTACAACTAAACATTAAACTATTATCTTCAGCCGTTTTCACTAGTTAACCAAAATTCTTAGGCTAAGCGATAGTACATACAACGTCTACCCCTCTGTCGATCTGTCCGATGCGAGAAATGGCCGCATGTAAAGGAGATAGGTTAATATCAACCCCAACGCCGCCATTATGCTCTTGCTCTCGATAAGAAAAATTGTAAGACAATAGTGGCTATTAACATATGACCCATGTGGTTAGCGATTTCGAGGAGTCTCTTCTCACATCAGACTACACCTGCAGATCTCGTTCTTGCTTTCGAGTCCTAGCCCACTTTACAGGTTGTAATAGGCTAAGTATAGTCGTATCCGGGGATATTGTTGAGGCTTTGGGTTTATTATCTTAAAGCTACATTACATGTTGCATGCGACTATACCGAGATGGATTGTGTCGCATATCACCCCCGAGTTAGGTAATAGGTAGGTTCGTTTAACTCGACGACATGAAGACTAAAACCTTGACAATTCTGACAATCTGGGAATCTAGCTGCAAGCGGGGGTTCTTTCTTCGGTCGGTCACCTTTTAGTTCCCTTTAAGACAGTGTGAGTGGGGGATTGTTAAGCGCTAACAAACGCTACTGTATGCACCTAACATAGTACAAGGTGTACAATGCTATTTATAGATCTAGTATATGTGGTAAGACTGTCCGAGTTTAAGCTTCATTCGCGGTTCAAAGGGAATACGTCATTAGGTTCAGCCAGTCAGGTACGTTATCTACAAATTGGAGTTACCCAAGACAACCTGCCAACCTTCAGGCTGGACTATATGTAGGTAGGTAATGTCTTGCATCGGCCCTAAAACGGCCCGCTTGGAACACACCCATGGTTTAAGTTTTGACCGAGTGTAGGCTTAGAACAGCTATATCGTGGGATTATACTATTCGTACTTACAGAATCTCAAAATAAAGGGGTCTGAGACATGAATGTTCGTAGATTGCCCCCTTTACGTAGAAAATTGTAGCTATTAGGCCGAATCATAAATATTTATAACACATAACATTACTACCTATTGTGGTCAACTTCAAGGACTTCGCTGCTGCTACTTAGGTATTGGCTAGTTAGTAGAAGGTATAGGCAGCTATATATTTAATGCTATTCTAAGTTACCGTATCATATACTATGAAGTAATATGTAGACTGTAGATGATAATATACATGATGATAACTTATTTTTATAACAGTATAGGTAAAGTGGGCAGTATAGCACCCTTGATTAAAAAGTTACTTGTTTACGAGGACAAAGGCTAATTGTAGGATTCAAGAAAATTTTACTTGGAAAGATAACCCTACAAATTTGAGGTGGTATTCAACTAAGAATTGTCGCCGCGTGCCAGTCAAAATATATAATAATAACTTCGAAAATACGTTATTCCAACCATCAATGCTTAGAAAATCACATGCATATACCGGAATCCCCCCTTTCACACTTGGACTAGCCGCAACACGGACTACACACGGTGGTTTGGGAGTTAGACGAAACCAATTGATATCATGTATAATAGTAGTTTCCTTGTTGAGGTTAGAGATTATATGTGATAACGTATTATAATATATTTACCTACCTAACTTAAGGTATATTATAGTAACACCACTCTAATTAAAAATGATAACCCAGGCCTATATTTCACATCGTTATAAAATAGCACTCTTAGCTACTTACATATAACGTGATAACAACTACCTGGGTAGGTACCGACGTACATCACAGGCGATTATACCTACACCTCCTACATGCCATGATGTTACATTGACAACATTCAAAAATATACGAAGGCAACGTGTCCCGACATTCTTCACATCTGTAATTCCCAGATCGATATCTCCAGGAAGAATGCCCACATTCGTGATTTTCCCGTAAGTCAGTCACGATACGTCCTATATCCACATCTTGAATGTCGAATTGCTCGTTCGTTCGATGGTCTCTGCGGTATATCTCTCCCGCCCGGTAACGGATTCGATATTCATCCCAGTGACGGCAGTCGCAATTTTTCCAAGGGGTGCCGCAAAGATAGCAGAATTCAGAACGACACTTGCACCTAGAAATGGTCAACGCTTCAGTTCATCGTCTACTAAGATAGTACTCACGTCATATGATAACAGCCATCGCTCAGTTCGATCAACGATAGACAATTATAGCATTGTTGCCATCCATGCTCTTGGGCGAGTTCAAGGACTTCTTGTAGGTCTTTATCATCGGGGCAATCGCCGTTATGCGAAGGACCTTTGCAGGTAATACATGTTTGCACGCCACAATCCATGCAGATTGCAATATCACCCACGTGGTTTTTGGGGGGGATAAAGGCAGAGCACTCTGGCTGGTGACAATATGTCCGACGTGGCGTCGAAAATTCAACCTCTTTGGCTCGAAATTCGCGAATGAGTTCTTTTGGAAGAGAAAACACGAGCCCTCTAAGAGGAATATTCTGCTGACAACAACGTGGAGGGAACAATGACTCGTCGGACATTGCGCTCCGAAATAGTTGCGCAAGACACTCTCGACAGTACAAATGGCCGCAGGGAGCTCGCATCACATCCAAATATATATATTTTTCCCCACATGCTAGACAGTCCAATTCTGGAGACGCATACTTCCGAGATATACGAGCGGTAGCCCAAGATGAACTCTCGGGTTGCTCGTCAGCAGCAGGAATAAAACGTTCTATCTCGCTCTCGTCTTGGTTTTTTGTCCTCAACCCCTGTGATATAGGTAGTAGAGAGTCTATCCATAAGTTCCAAATCATCGTCTGACTCAGGATCATCGCTTTCCACATCCGAAGTCATAGGAATGCCTTGGGAAATCGAGATCGCGGTGGCATGGTCATGCCGTGCTATGGATTCTTCGCGCTCTGCTTGGAAGAGGGCATCGGTATCGGTTTGTATCGCTCTTTGGATGCTCCTACTCATCTGACGATCGGAAACAAAATTTGCGGCATAATTTAACTCCTCGTAGTAGAGTTGAAGAGCAAGTTCGGCATCTGTGAGCATGCCTTCGGCCTGCTTCCCTTTAGCGGCCGAGGTGAGCTGCTTTACGTCGTCTGATAAGAGACTGGTCATAAGATTCAGAGATTCTTCATCATTAATGGCCCAACTGGGTGCCATAGTATCGATAATAGCCATTCAAATTTGCGTTTTGTCGTACTATTTGTTTTTTTATGTTATGGACTCGGTCCAAATGCGTTCGAAGGATTTATTTCTCTTCTGTAGTCGAAGAGGGTGTCTGTTATATTTATATCCTTCTTAAGTTTATTCCTAGGCTCCTGTTAGGATTCTAGATGAGACATCTAGAGCAAAGGATACGATACTTTCAGTATGTACCAGTAGGTTCCTATGGTAGTGTCAAGATTCTAGACGAGACATCTAGAAGAAATGACATGTTTAGTATGTATAGACACAGGCCCTCATAGATAGATTAGAGTTCCTCGCGGAACAACGAAGTTGTTTCCCTACTGTTTGGTTCCACCTCGTGACAGGTAGCCCTTGTGTAGATGCCGAGCCTAAAGTTTATTTCTACTAATTACCCTCCCCGTTTGACTGTCTCTAACATCAGCTCGACGCAATAAGCATTCCGATGATATCTTACACATTTTTCGTTAAGTATTTATAGGCATATGTAAATATCATAATGACAACAACTTCAACGTAAACTTTAATGATAGTCAAAAATGTAGCTATTAGGTAGTGACGCTTTAATACTACATAAGGTGGGGAAAACATCAACTCATTCCTAGAGTTGTTCGGACAGAAAACAAACTTATAACAATTAAATAAATGTTTATAAACGTCCATAACTCGTGGAACCAGGTATTCTTTAGAAATCTCTTGGGATGAAATGGGTTTCTCTTATACTACTTCTCAAAATATTGACTACAGACTACTCCTTATCGAAGTATAAACCCTAAAAGTGAGCTGAGTGTATTAGACCAATACATACTTAGATTTTCTTGTCTTGAGTTCGTAATGCTCACCTGCTGCGGTCCCCCAAAGACCAGGCCACTCAGAGATTAGCGATATTGTCTTACAGCACTATATGAGTTGATTGGGCGCTTCAAGCCGTAAGCTGGGAAGCCACAAAACCGCCACCTGTAGAACATCGGAGTTGTCGGCTAACCAGGCACCTACACTATTCGCGTGGTACTGTAGTACGAAATCCTTCCATTAATAGTGTACTGGCTCTCTTATTTCTATAATAGTAGAGGGCCGAGCCCTGTAGCTTCCTTCTGTTTCGAGTAGAAGCATCGTAGCTGAATAGTTCTATCTTATTCATGAACATGATAATCATCAAAATGCTGGATATCGCCGACGTGCTAGCTACTTTCGCCGAAGAGAAAAGGGGCGTAGATTTGGATAGCCCTACCGCTGGACCCCCACCCGGTGTCCAGCCTAACCTTAATAATCCGAGGAATAAGAACATCATGACTATGGCCGTTATCACCATATGCATGGTCATATCGATATTATTGACTCTGTCGCGGGCATATGCTAGGCTGTTTTGTATTAAAAAAAGGTTATTTTGAAGACTGTACGTATATAAGTCCGAGGCACTTTAGTTGAGGCGATTTTCTCTAATGGTTAGCAGTTCTTGTCACTTCTGCCTTGGTGAATTGACCGATCTCAGTTATATCATCTCCTTTGCTTGCTAATCTCTCCCTGAGTAGGCTATATACATAGCATATAACTGTTGCATATATCGTATCATTGATGTACTTGGCATGTTCGTTCATCAATGGGAGACACCTATACAGTCTTTAACAAAGTTCCTCTGGGTAGATGCCATCGTTTCTCTTACTCGAGCAGTGTTAACTCTAAGCAGTTTGCTTGCCTCACCGAAATTTTCTACGTAATTATAGTCGTTTGCCTCAAAATATCGATTCTCTTAGATTGGATTCATATATTCGTTCCTACTGGCACTCGAAACGTGTTTTTCTGGACTTGCCATATACTCCTGTGGCTCAACCTACTCTTTTATTTCACATGCCTTATTGCTTTCAATCTCGCATGTTTCCCCCATAAGAAGATATGGGACAAGACTATAGAGGGGGGTTGGTGCCTCGACCCTTGGGTTATGCTACTTTCTACCGGTATCCTTAACTTGATATCTGATTTCATAATCCTTCTTGCTCCCCAATGGGTTATTTGGAATTTGAAAATGCCATTGAGGAGAAAACTAGCTATTTCTCTTGCATTTGCGACAGGTATATTGTAAGTTCAGAACATCTCCCCAAAGGCTTGTTACATCCTAATCGTAGCAATAATATAAGTTGTGTTGTATTTGCTGGGTTTCGAATTGCTAGCTCTGCAACGTACCTTAACTCGTTCGATGTGGTCTATGATGGATCAGCAATGCTTCTGTGGGCCGAGGGCGAAATGACCCTCCTGTTCTTTGTTGTCTGCCTCCCTTCGACCCCCAAAGCAATTAGTGGCGTAAAATCGATGGATATGAGTTGGATTTCTAGAATATGGGCATCATCTTCGGCAAATACCAAAGGAACAGGGGAAAGCAATTCGTGGCCTCGTTTGAGCAGCGCTTCACGAAATCATAGATCCTACAAGAAAGTAGACGAATATCGCCTTGGTCCACTGAGTGGCTTCCAGAAGGCACAAGTCCCCTATCGTGTCCCTACAACCGAAAATGCAGATTGGTCCACCGGTATCGTACGTACCACCGAATTCGCTACGATGGAATAACAGGCATTATATCTCTTGGAAAAACACAGTTATCGCTAGACTTGGGTGTGAGGCTCTTGGATTCGCGAGTAAGCTGTGTAGAAACAACCCGGCTTTCCTTTTTTTTTTAACAAATATGATCGATAAATAAGGACTTGGTTGCCTTATCTCTTCTTCACATCATCGATATACCAATGTGTTGGGCGTTAAGTGTAAGCAGAGTAAAAGGGGGTTATCGAAAGCTATATAAAAAGGGGCGTTGTTGGTTCAGGACCGGGAGGCGGATAGGGGCTACGATCATTACACAAATCGTTAATGTTTACATCTCTCTACTCCACATGTATCAATAGTGAACTACTACGATGCGTTTAGAATCTCGCAAAAGAGAGCTATGAACCCCATAGATAACGTCAGTCCATACAAGATTGATAGATTAAGTCTTACCCAAGCAATATTCTCCTAGCAACTATGCATTTCCGATATTTGCAGTTACGCCTTCCACTCCTATCTATAATCTCATCGAATTCCTCCCCTAACCGAACGGAATCCTTCGGAAACTAACACGCCCAAGTTCGGTTCGGTTACGCTTCCGATGCCGAACCCTAGGGGTCAATGGGAATATCGAATCCCTGGAGTTTATAGTATTAACAACCGCTTTATCGACGACGTGCATGGTTGGGACTATGCGATAGATGTCCTCGGAACGGGCCTTTCCGCTCGGAATACCCGCAAGCAAGCATGTCGTCATCATATCAATAGCACGAGAGCTATAATGCTCCGATATCCATTATAGGGAATAGATATACAAAAATGGCTTGATATACATGTACTTTACGTACTTAATGCGTATACAAATCGAACTATTGGTTCACGATCTGTTCTGGCGTTCCCTGCAACATCCCTTGCGAGTCACACGACGATGGCGAATGAAGTAACTAAACATGGAGACGACCTTCGAAGATTTCACAACTCAACCCCGTACTTCGTTTGATTTAAATTGCTAGATTCCCACTAGTTGGCCCCCGTGATCCTAACGGAACGAGATGTTGATATATCTTCATCAGCTACACGCTAGTAAACCCTCTGGACTAGATCGCTTGTTCAAATCCGCGATTGTCATCCAACCTGTTCCGGTTACCGGGGGCTCATTTTGGAATAATGTTGGTAGGTAGTATATAATATCTCTTGGCAAATAATACAGAACCTCCGCTGCTGAAGCTAGAGAGAGACTATGCTTAATATCCTATCTAATAAGCGCGCGTATGTTACCTCCTTGCTTTTGAGCATTCGGCAGCTTACTGTATGTCAGTTTCATCAGCACCACCTTGATAGGCTAGTATATTGCACCCGGGATTGCTTTTTCTTAGCTATTGTTACATCTATACCAGACATGGGTGTTACTCAAAACGCGTGGGGGTTGAGGTATTGGGTTGACGGAGAGTCCTAATGCTGAAACCTGAATTTACCCTTTAACGGCTTACTTGACATTATGGTTACTTGCAATATGATTTTTCCCAACAGTAGGCGTACAGCGAATGTAAGGCTTATATAGTTACAGTACCTAATGGGCCGTAAAATTAGACTGTATATTGCACGGCATATAGTTATATATTCTAAATGCTCTCGAACTATCATATATCTACATACTTACCTACCTCACGGCCTTGTAACGAAATCGTATGTAGTGTTCTTAGGTGGGGTTTCTTGTATCAACGCCAAGGTTGATCAAAATGTGACTCTGTCTCAGTACTCGGCATTTAGGAGGCTCGGGACGATGGAGCGGATCTACTTAGAGAAAAACTTTAGTCTATCTGTCTAACAGGCAACCGATACTCGAGTCTCCTAGTCGTTTGATAGGTATCTTACTGGATTATGGAAATGACTTACACATGTGTTCTAAGTACTCGATACTAAATGAAGTAAGCAACAGAAGTTCGTTTATTAATTTCACCCACTCTTTCCGATAAGCGAATCACTATTTCCGGTAAACGACAAACAAAGTAAAGGATTTAATGGTACGTTTCGTCCCCCGGAAGGTCGCAGCGACGATGACGAAGAGCTGTCATTTGAATGCTGGAATACAACGTTAGGTGTTCCGCGCTGGACCCGAGTTCCTAAGAGGACCGGCGCGGTTAACAGACCTGCAAGTTATACCCAAGCGTATGGGACCGCATGGCAGAATTGGAGACATCTCCCATGGGTCGGTGAATACGGTGAATGCAATGCAACGACATCAATATTCACTTCAGATAGACTGCTAAATTAGGATGTCATAATCCGGGGAGGTTGAAGTTGTCTAGTTAGAATTAATCCAAGTGCTGATATCGCGTAACATGTAGGATTTGCTAACATAGTCGGCGTGGATTGTGGCGTAGAGTATAGGGGAAACCTAGGATAATTCGTATGAATGGTGTCCAAAAGAGGAAAAGAGACCGTTGAAGTATTGGCTCCGAAGCAAAGCCGCAAGGAGAAAAGTGATACCTTCGGAAATGGGCACGGAACGGGGAAGAGCTTGCTCTAAATCGAGAGTCGGCCGGCGGAGAAATTTGCGTAGACGGGCCTTTAAAAACTCTAGGTTAGTTAACTAATAATTAACTACCACGAACAGACAACTCAGAATGAACGGGCTCTGTTCCGGATCAAGGTCTCGGAAGTCTAGACCTTGCCGATCTTTACTGATGAAACCCGCGTGTTAGGGATTCTTCCTTCTTCTCTGTTTCAATGCTTGAGTTTTCGACGCAGTTATGTACACAATAGTAAGATCGCCGTCGTCATGTCTCACGAAAAGTAAATGGGAACGCCATGTGGTTTTGCGAGTGGATCCTTTCTCGATGTCGGAATCGGGGATAGGGGATAGCCTAATGGGATTAACTTTGGCGTCCTTCCGATGATAGGAGCGGTTGCGTGCTCTAAGTAGTATCCATCGTAACCTTGTCAATAACCTCTTTGGGCCATCGTGAAATGTCAAATTTTTATTTTGTTGGATTTGATCATCATCTGAGTATTCGTGATCATCACTCAAGCCAGGTACCAACCCGGTCGCTACTTAAGATCAGTGGTTATGATACTCAAGTGAGAGCGGGCCGAAAATAATGAGCGAGCTTCCTGGAGCTCATGAGAGCGCCGTTACGAAAACACGCCCAAAGTTTGTTCAGGCGGTCAAACGGGTTTCAGGGTTCATCTGGAGTAATTGGCTAGTGTTGGGATTTGGTCTTGCTTGTGTTTTGGGATATTTCTTTCCTGGTATGTTAGCAGAGACTTGGACATCGTCTTAGTATTGTACTCGGTTGCTGATCTATCCTTTAGATGTTGCGGCCCGTGGTGGTATCATCCGGTCAGAATATTCTATCCTATATGGGGGCATTGCCTTGATCTTTTTTATCAATGGGATGCAACTTAGTCCAGCAAAACTCAAGGAGCATGTAATGAACTGGCGTCTGCACTTTGTCGTGCAAGGAATAAATCTTGTTCTCATACCTGTTATTCAACTCGGTACGGAATTATACTTGGATTCCAGTCTTGTCACTTTGCTGATCTGTGCTAGTCATAATTCATATCATAATAGTTGCCGGAGGAGTGAGCTCGGGGACGATTGATGCTAGCATCCTCGTTGGAATGGTCGTAGTTAGCTGCATCCCGACCACTATCGCATCTAACGTGGTAATGACGAGAAATGCGGGCGGCGATGAAGCCGCCGCTATTATCGAAGTGGTGATTGGGAATGTTGTCGGATCCTTTCTCTCGCCCTGGTTAATATATGGATTTCTTCCTAGCGGAGGCGAGTTTGACTCGCTCAGACCGGCGAAAGCAGATACCTTGGGGCCAATGTATGCCAATGTTATGAAACAATTGGGGCTCAGCGTTCTCCTTCCGCTCATCGTCGGCCAAGGTCTAAGATGGACGTTTCCGAAGCAGGTGTCTTGGACATTGAGTACATTTTACCTAGCACAATTCTGCTCCGTGTTACTTATGCTCGTAGCCTGGTAAGTAGGCCAATCTCCCTCGAGGAATAGAGAAGACTGTAGGATTCGACGTAAACTGACTTATACTGTTAGGTCGACTTTTTCAGGGGCATTCCAGACAGGGGCACTCACTGCTTTACCTAAATCGTCTATAATATTCAATGTTTTTATAAACATAGCAGAATATATCTTGTTTACTGCTATTTGCTACTGGGTGGCATCGCCACCGGAGGTCCTTACCAAGGTAATCAATGGTTACGTTGCTGACTCACGACTAGGCTCTCATCTACCAGGGGCAATTCGGAAGGTTGTGACAGTTAAAAAGATGCCCAAGGAACTTGTTATTGCTGTTTGCTTCTGCGGAGCTGCAAAGACTACGAGCGTAGGAATCCCGTTGGCTGCTGCCATGTGGTCTCAGCTCGACAATTTTACCATCTCGTCCATCCAAGTCCCGGTACTCTTATACACGGTGGAACAGGTATTTATAGCGCAATTCTTCACCATATTCTTCAAGTGGTGGCTACATCGATCCGATAAGGGACTCCTGGATGCCGAGTCAGCTACGACCCAGGAGGAAAATCAAGCTGTCGATGAGCCGGACGACAATCTCCGGGATGCGGGGAATGGAAATCGTGACGTTCTAGCTGAGTCAGCCAATGCGAGCGTACTGCACGAGAAACTCGTTTCATGAGATATAGCTTCAGATATTTGTTGAGACTAGGATTACCGATATTTATTATTTTGACGAGTGTTTTATGTTTGTGTTTATGTAATGATAGGAATATGTAAGTTTACTAATAAGTCTTCATCTTTTGGATATTATCTGTTATGTGTATTACCTAACATAAAGTTTATAGCCAGGTATCTGGCTAATTGCAATACCGAATTATTCAATGGAACGAGCAAGTCCCGACCAGGGGTATGCATACTAGGTACCTTCTACGTGGGGCCAACGTTATCAGCCCACTTTATGACGCGCCTTTCTTTAATTGAATGTTTCGAAACATTCTGGAATCATCATCACCTAACTATGATTCTTTTAACAAGAGATTATCGAATTGGAACTCTTTCGTCCATTCCAGACGATTCCAACTTCTACATAATATACATACTAGTTAGTTCATAACAATCATAACAATACCATCTTTGTCTCGTCTCTGCGATTTTATTCATTTGGCAATTTAAGTTTCATTGATCTTCGCTTAATTTCGTCCCTCAAAATTAAAACAATTGAGAACGATACATGATGAGCTCTGATAGAGCTTTACGAGGCAGTTGCCATTGCGGCAGGAATCAGTATACGATCCTAATACCCGAGGGTTCATCGGGAGGAGCTCAGGTCCTATTTGATTCGACCATAGGCCACAGTAAGTATAAATTTGATGAGCCCTATTGTTCTCTCATCTACTTCGTAGCTAGTTGCAATATACACGCGGAGCTAACATAGCATATGGATAGGAATCTCATCAGCGACGCCTCTCTCGGCCTTCCTTAGAGTTCCGCTTTCATGGTACCATAGCCAAATATTTCCATTCTTCCCCGACGAGTCTCGGGCTAATATTAAACGTGCCTATTCCCACCCCGCTGAACAAAATGCTATGCGACAATTCTGTGGGTTCTGCGGGACTCCCTTGTCGTATTGGTCCGAAGAACCTAGGAGTGAGGCCGACTATATTCAATTGACGTTGGGTAGCCTCTTAACCGAGGATCTTCGTGACCTGGAGGATCTAGGCCTGATTCCCGACGAATCCGAATTGGACCCTACGGATATTGTACCTACTCGTGCATCCAACCAAGATTCGCAATTGATCGGACGGGACGTAGCTGGTATTCCGTGGTTTGAAAGCATGATTTTAGGTAGTCGTCTAGGCAACATACATACTACAAAAGGTGTTAGGGAAAGTCGAGACGGCAAGGTTCGAGTCGAGTACGAAATCACAGAATGGACGGGAGATGGTGCGGTAGGGGACGAAACAGGGCGTACGGTACTGTTCTATGAATCGCCTACGACGGGTAAGAGAAAACGCGGAGAGGCTGATGGTGGAGAGGGCGGGAATACTGCCTAGGGCATCACTTTGGTCACTCGGTCGCCGTACATGCGGCCGATCGAATCTACCCGCTACTGGACGATGCAACTATAAAGCATTAGCGAGAGAAAAAGATCGGTTCGAAATAAGATAAGTACTGCGACCTTCGGAAACATGCTCACTTCCTCCTGAGTTCTCCAGTTAGCGGCAGGCAGTGCCTCTTATTCCTGCACTGCGGCGACTAGATACGTGAATCTTATGTTGAAGCCCTTATTATATGCAAGGATACACATTAGTGATCTGTCAATGAGATCCGAGATTCCGTCTAAGGGAATAAGTTGTATCGAATAGGGAATCGACTCGGTCAGCCAAACTAGGTAAGCCCGAAACAGGTGATTTTCAAACCGTCGAGTAATTATCGCCGAGATCTCTCTGCGGCAACCGAGATGGCAGTCGGCGAATGGACATAGGGAAAAGATTTCGCAAAACAACGTATAAGAGAAGTTATTATGTACCTAATGTACGACGACCTTGATCTCCGGGACTCGGCATAAACCAACCGGCTCCCAAGCTGAATTTGACGTTAAAGCCGTTTCCAGGGTCCAATGCTAAAGCAAGTGTTTGTTTATTATTGATCTTTCTTTTGTTGCAAGTCGGATAGCTCGCTGATGGTGGACTATCCTCCGCTTCTCGAAGTTGGACCCTTCCATGCAAAGGGATGTTGCGCCGCATCCCAACGGAGCAGACAGGGCGGGTGGCCAAGATCGATCTTTTGAATCGTTAGTGCCGCCATTCATCAATTCGTGACTATCCCGAATCCAAGGAACACCGCTGTTCGAAGGATGGGACTATCGTGTCTACCCACTCGGCTGTACCGAAGTTTCTACGAGCCCCTGGCTGCATAAAGGGCCAAGACTCGAGACTTGGATAGACATATGCCTTTTGGTGGCCGGAGACACGGGCCGTCGCTGGGATCTAATATGATTCCGGCACATGACGAGTTCGTTTGTGGGGGGAACATCCCAAATCAAAAACTGGACCCTGTCTCTCTGCCCTGCCTGTATGCTTACAAGCTCCAATTACCCCGCGGCGGAGATGGTTGCTATGGCCTATGTGGGTATGAATGGCTAGAATGGGTATGAATGGTTTGGAGATACAGCCATCATCGTACAAGCCTGTTGTTCTCGGTCGTCACGGTCCGATACGGGAGAAAGGGGAAAGTGCCGGTCCTACACTATACATCGAAAACCAGACGAGCTCGCCTCTGAAAGCCTGAAACCTCACAAGGGTATAAAGAAGATGATGGCCTCCATTTCAACGTCGAGCAGTCGTTCTGTTTGGTCTGACTCGACTCAAGAGTCATTGCCATCTTCTGCTCTCTATATACCCTTCGTGAGATCGTCTGAAGTCTTGGTTGGGCATCAGAGTAAATATCCATTTTCCCGGACGAGATCGAAACGCTAGTGGGCAATCTCGAATAGCCTAGATATCCATTTATCGCCTTTGATAATTCAGAGCGCTTGTTCAATATGTCGTTGCCCTCGGATTTCCTCTGGGGCTTCGCTACAGCTGCGTGAGTACTGTCTACCGAGCTCGTTGTCTCTATTAGATATAGCAGCCCTGCCCACACACTAAAAGAATTTCGCCACTAACTTCAGCTCTTCTTCGCACATAGCTACCAGGTCGAAGGCGCAACCCAACAAGATGGCCGTGGTGCAACTATCTGGGATACTTTCTGCGCTATTCCGGGGAAGATTGCAGATGGAACTGACGGGTCCGTCGCCTGTGATTCATACAACAGAACTGCTGAAGATATCGCCCTCTTGAAGAGGCTGGGTGCTACTGCCTACCGCTTTTCTCTGTCGTGGGCAAGAATCATCCCTCTCGGTGGTCGGAATGATCCAATTAACCAGGCTGGTATCGACCACTACGTCAAGTTCGTCGACGACCTACTTGAGGCTGGCATTGTTCCTTTCATAACATTACTACACTGGGACGTCCCAGACGCGCTTGACAAACGATATGGTGGACTTCTAAACAGGGAAGAGTTCCCACTTGACTTTGAGCACTACGCCCGCATCGTTTTCAAGTCAATTCCTAAATGCAAGAACTGGATCACATTCAACGAACCTTGGTGCAGTTCTATCCTAGGATACAGTACAGGGTTCTTCGCCCCTGGTCACACATCTAACCGAGCCAAGTCCGCTGTCGGTGATTCCAGCCGAGAACCTTGGATCGTCGGCCATAATTTGCTCCTTGCTCACGGCAGAGCTGTCAAGGTATACCGCGAAGAATTCAAGCCTAAGGACAAGGGACAGATTGGTATCACTCTGAACGGTGATTACACATACCCATGGGATCCCGAGGACCCGAGAGATGTCGAAGCTGCCAACCGAAAGATTGAGTTTGCCATCTCGTGGTTTGCTGACCCCATCTACTTGGGCAAGTACCCCGACTCTATGCGAAAGCAACTCGGTGACCGGCTGCCGGAATTTACACCTGAAGAGCTAGCTCTAGTTCAGGGCTCCAACGATTTCTATGGCATGAACCACTATACTGCCGACTATGTCAAGCACGGCGACGGTAACCCGGCCCCGGAGGATTTCCTAGGTGATCTATCAACTCACCCCTACAGCAAGAACGGCGAGTGCATCGGTCCCGAGACGCAATCATTCTGGCTACGCCCCAACCCGGAAGGGTTCCGAGGCCTACTCAACTGGCTCAGCAAACGGTACAACTACCCGCCGATCTACGTAACGGAGAACGGAACAAGCATCAAGGGGGAGAACGACTTGAAGGAGCCCGAGATCCTCAACGACACATTCCGGTACGAGTACTTCCGGGACTACATCAACGCGATGGCCAAAGCATCTAGCGAAGACGGCGTCAACGTTAAAGGATACATGGCGTGGTCGTTGATGGACAACTTCGAGTGGGCCGAGGGTTACGAGACCCGGTTCGGCGTCACCTACGTCAACTACGCCGACGGCCAGCAACGAAAAGAGAAGTACAGTGCTAAGAAGATGAAGGAGATCTTCGACGCGGTTATTAAGAAGGACTAGGGATTAAGAGTGGTGATTCAAAGGGGATACCTACCTGGCAGAGAAAGCTGCGAGGGCTGGGGTCCGGGCATTCTGATTTCGGTCTTTCGTGCATGTGTGTTATGCGTCTGTTAATGGACCTCGATACCTTTGGTAATTTGGAGTATATTCAGGGTTATTACGGTTGTTTTAGCTCTCTTAATTATTTATCGAATATCATGACACGTGTCTCGACCTTTCTTTTTTTTGAGGTGACTACAGTTGCCTACCAGTAACGGAGTTTGTCAGATTGCGTGTCTAAGACGTGATAGCTGGCGAATAGAATCGTTACCGCGAGTAGCCGAGGTATATATATTTAGCAAGATAGCAGATATAAAATGGCCGTGGCCGATGTCGAGGTTGCCTACTGTTACCCTCGGTAATATATATCGATGATACCTACCTATAGTTGGCTTTGTATCTGCCGGGAAGGGTTTACATGAAGGAATCGGTTATGTGACCGGCAAGACCCATCAAATCATCAGCTTAGATATAGACTATACGTATTGCACGGGAAATGTCGATATTAGGTCTATATCTTATCAATCTTGTTTTTTCCTTTCCCCTATTTCAAGCAAGGGATACAGCTTGGTTATTCGAAGATGCTACCTAAAGTCAGATTATTTATATAGAACGTAGGTATACAAGAACAGCATAGGAACTATCCATTGGATATTAACGAGGGCAGAGAAATTTGTCTTTTCTATTAGGTTCAACTTCTTGGGCCTAGTTTCTAGTAAAATATCAAATTGCGTTGCTTAGGTAGCTAGGGCTTTCTTGTGTATAGAGCTTTATCACAGCTTGAAGCTAGATTAGGCGTCCTGAGCACTATTTATCCAGGCGTAAACACCGTGCTGCCTGTGATATGCCTAGGTACCTAGCTAGGTTAGGTAGGTACTTATACCTTCTTTCCTGTGTCGAAATAACCAAACCATCCAACTCCAGTGTCGTACATGTGCCCTTATCACATGGCCAGTCCAGTTAATGAATAAATATTTCTTCTAAGGTTGCCTCTTTGCAGCAAGATCGTGGAGGTCACCCGTCTCGCCGACCTGCACTCTACCGCCGGTAGTCTCATCGGCTTTCTTCGGCCCGGTCCTCACGGCGCCGTCAACCTTGTCCTTGAGCGCCTCGTCGTGTGATTCAATGTTGGCCTCGAGGTCTGACTGGGTCGTGTTGCCGTGTGTCGCGGAGGTCTCGTCGATGACGTTTCTGTTTGCAGGGGAGGTTAGCGGTATGTCATATGATAGCAAATTGGATAGGTTCCATTATAGGCTTGGAGTATGTTTTAGGACTGATTGGATACAGGAGAGGCAACTTACTGCGCCTGGCCGTGTCGGTTTGAGTCAAGGGGTGTCTGCTCAAGTCCAGACGAGTGGCCTCCTCGCGAATCAGTCATCTTGTCTGGTTTTTAAGAAAAAAGAAGCTATACCGGGCGTGTAAGGTAGGTAGCATTGGAACTAGGTTGGTGTAAACGGGCAGATGGGCTGGATGCGGATAACTACTTGAGGCGAGCACATCTAATTTGCATTATCATATGTGGGGGATGTTTTGTCTACACAAGCAATGACGTATGCTGAGGTCATATCCATGCATTTACATTTCGTACCTACATTAGATAGTCTTACATCTTTCGATATAATTGGCATATCGAGCTCCTATTACGTTGAACGTGTCACGGTAAGATCAGGACTAACAATGATAGTGACGAAGATCCTTGAGACCGCAGTCTAGGTTAGTTGTATGTAATGCTAAAGTCTCATATTGGTGGCCGAGATCGATGAAGTCCTCGCAACTAGTTTGTCTTACTTCTAGTGCTAATTCCTCCCGTCATAACGTGACATAGACCGAGTCTGGTTCCTATCAAAGAATACCATCTAGGCTTTTCTGTGGAAATCCTAATAGTTGTAATCAACAACTCAGCATACCGGCTAGCAATTTAGGAGTTATTATTCGGTTTACTTCCCTCGCCTGGCTTAGTTGATGCGCCGCTTGACGCTCGAAGGGCAGCAATATTATCATCGATAATAGAGATTTCGGCGTTTATCCGAAGTATTTTTTCTTCGAGCTTTTCTGCATACTCTCTGTCTGATAATCGTTTTAAAGGACTCCATTTTGAATCAAGCCAGCCCGACTTGGCCTTGGAATCATCCTTGGATTGGTTCTTGAAGAGCTGAGCTAGGTATGTACCAGCAGTTCCAGCGGTGCCAAAAACTAGAATACCTGGTATAATATTCTTAGGGCCCCCTACGTAGTAATTAGCTTAGGTTCAGAATATGGTATGTACAGACATCGGAAATACTTACGAAACATGCCACCGACCATCCCAGCTACGCCGCCAGCCACGCCGCTTGACTTTACTAGGTCTGACGTGGTGAGGTTTTCTTTACCACCCCAGGCATGCCAAAGGAGATCCCTTGAAGCTGTATATTCGTTAGCGGCTAGGAACACAAGATTATAGGATAACAACCCTCACCCGTGTAAGTAGACCCGAGAGCAAACCATTGGAGACCGGCAACTAATGCGAATAATGCTGGTGGCGCTGATCGGACAATGCCAGAACCAGCCCCAATCACCAAGCCAACGCTGCCTGAACGAACTCAAGTCAGTAGGTCTGTCTACACTATTAACCCGCTGGCTAAGGTATGTCTTTACCGGCCATAACTCCGGTCTGCAATGACTTGCTTGCAATTTCCATAAGCTCATTTGCTGATGGCATCTCTCTATCATATGGACTAATAGCCTCAGGGTTAGGGTTAGGATCCGAGGATGAGGGCCCCTGCGGCGTCGGTTGCTGCGGTGAGGAACCCATATTTGTAGGTATATCGAAAGAGGCGTAGTGTCAGTTTCTTTATAAGACTACCTAAGGTAATGTCAGTTGGTTGAGTCTAGAGAAGCTAATTGTGCTAACGGACGTGATGGCACTGATATGTTCTTTAGCGTTTGAATATTGCTGTTAAGACGGAAATATTCGTATCTGAAGCATAAGTCTAGAGCACAGATAACTACCTTATAGGTACCTAAAATTCCGTAACTTTTATTTAAATTTTATTTTTTACCTTTGCAATCAACAAATCGATCAATCAATGGTCATATTTGATTGGAGGTTTTCTGAGTTGAGAATTATCGTATAGTAGGCCAGTTCAAAATATGAATTCTACCCATCACAGCCATCGGCGGCAATAAATCCCTGCGCTCCAATCCGCCAATCCGCAAACCTCGTTAGGTGCTACTATCAATAGGATAAGGTACTTAGAGACTAAGTACCTGAGCGATGGCCCAGTAAAAGCTAACCAATGAACGATAAGAGAAAGCTGCGGCACTCGCGAGCATAGCCCAGCCCAGCCCGCATCTTGATATGTAATTATTGGAATCGGTGAGCCCCTCGAACCATCTAGGTCTTGATAAGTACCACATTTACACATACCTATAGATATGCCATATAGGTACATGTATAGGTACCTACATATATACAGGATAATAACTTGCACAAATGCTTAGCAAAAGAATTACCTTACATAAGTGCTCGTGTCAATTAGGTACTTGTTTACATTAATAAGTTATGTAGGTACTTTAACTTAATTGTGCTATGTACATATCAGACCACTTACCAAAACTCAAAGCTTTACATACATAAGGTATGTCCTTAGGCAGTGCACGCTATAGAATTACCTAATGTACCTAACCTACCTAAGATTAAAACTTTCCCCTCCTTAGGTAAGGTACAACAATACAACACACATAAAAACGCACAATAAATGTGTGAAGTTTAACGTTGAACCCCGCCATCAGAATTGAAAAATTGCTGGTACTTGATCAACTTGTACTGCAGGCTTAATTCTCCCCGTCTCTCGTCTCTCATACGTTGGCGAAAAAAAATTAAGCTAACCCTCCCGGCCTTTTTTTTCACAGCATCCATTTTTTTTTCTTTCTGGTCAAGGAAACTTTTCGGTTCTCCTTGCCCATCCTGCAAACTTTCGGTTACCACTTGTATCGTCCCAATCGTATTGTCGGTCTGGCATCTGTGAAAAGTGAAAATCACTACTGCCTTACCGTCTTTTAACCCATATTCTCTCCATCACCGAACAACTGAACAACTGAACAACTAACCCGAAGAACTAAGCCTAGTTTCTTCGGCGATTCATCTCCCGTCTGCGCGCGACGACCTCGACAAGCGTTGCGCGTGACTAAAACACCGCAATCATGGGTATGTTGTCGCCCATTAACCTCACCCTGCCGCAAGAGATCACATGCTAACAATTGATGTGTTACAGCGCCTAAGAAGAAGGAACAGCAGCAGAAGATGAGCCTTGGGGCCTTTCTGCAGGAGGAGAGTCAGTTCGCCCTCCCCTTTCTGTCTCCTTTTCCTCCCATATTCCCACCGTCTGTCTACAGTGCCATCATTCCATAAACAGACACGCAGGCACCCCACAATTAAAACGGAGAGACGAGAACGAGCGACTTTGCTAACATAAAATAGAATATGGCGGATCATGGGCTGATGAAGTTGAAGACTCATTCGGTACGTCATAACTCCTAACGGGGATTTGTTTTTATATATGGGTATGGGTTTAATTTTGCTAACCTCTTATCCCCTAGGCTCTCAGCCTTTGCCCTCCACCGAACGACGAACAGGCTATTCTAGTTACGGAGGCTCAGGCAATGATCGAGGTAAGTCAATATGATTAATTATTATTTACTTAATCAGTAGTTAACTTGTACTCCCCAAGGCTACTCTCGCCGCGAGGATTCCTACGCACCCCAGGGCCCGGCCCAGCTTCCAACCAAGCCCCCTTACACCGCTCATCTGGGGAATCTATCTTACGAAGCCACGAACGAGTCTGTCACCGAGTTCTTTGAGGACTGTGAAATCACCAGTGTTCGAATCATCGAAGATCGGATTGAACAACGCCCAAAAGGCTTTGCTTATGCAGAGTTTGCGAACGTCGAGGGTCTGAAGAAGGCCTTGACCCTTGATGGAACCAGCTTCCAGGGCCGTACCATCAAGATTAAGATTGCCGATCCTCGTAAGTCCAAGTGCCAATAGTATTAAGTGAATAACTACTAACAATTCTCCAGCCAAGGATCGAGACAATCGTGGTGCGGGTGGCGAGTCCGCTCGTGATCTTAGCAGTTGGGAGCGAAAAGGCCCTCTAGCAGACCTCCCATCTCGTAGTAACGATCGACGTCCTGCTGAATTTGGAGAGCGCCGAACACCTGCTTTCCGAGATGCACCTTCTGATGATGGCAAGGTTCGCGATTTCGGAAACTGGGAACGCAAGGGACCCCTATCACCACTTCCTCAGTCTGAACGTCCTGAGGGATCGCGAGATAGCAGCCGTCCCCGAACTAATGATGCCAACAGAGGTGATACCTTCCGAAAGGATCGTAGGGCATCACCAGCTACCTGGGGTGAAGGTCGTCAGGAAGGTTCTCGACCTCCCAGAGAATTCAGAGATAGACCCGAGCGCCCAGAGCGTCCGGAGCGCACTCCAACGGCAGCGGAGCGCGACAACCAGTGGCGTAGCAATATGAAGCCCGACTCTCTGGTGAAGTCTCCTGAACGCTCTCGTGATGGATCTGAGGCGCCTTCGTCGCCTGCTGGTGGTTCGGTCGCTGGTTCGGCTGCCCCAGCTCCCGCAGGCCGTCCCCGACTCAACCTTCAGAAGCGAACCGTATCCGAATCTCCAGATGTGGTATCTCCTGGACTGCCATCTGCGACTGGCGAGTCCAAAGCGAGCCCCTTCGGTGCCGCTCGTCCTATTGATACAGCGGCAAAAGAGCGTGAGATCGCAGAGAAGCGAGAGCAACAGCTGAAGGAAAAGAAAGAGGCGGATGATAAGGCAAAGGAAGAGCGACGTCTTGCCAAGGAGACTGCAGCAAAGGAAGCTGCAGATAAAGCCGCTGCCGAAGCGGAGAAGGCGGAGAAGGCGAAGGCTGAACCGGTCGAGGAGAAGGTCGAGGTTGTCGCTGAGACGAAGGAGGAACCGAAGGCTGAACCGAAGGTTGGAAGTGCTGAGGATGGTGAAGCTGCAGAGCAGAAGGCACCAGTTAAATCTAGGGACAGCGCCCAGAACGCGAAGTCTAGAGCAACCGAGAGCGGTAACTGGAGAACATCATCATCAGGAGAGCAGCGCCAAGGCCGTGGTGGGTATGTCAACGCTTCACGAGGCCGTGGCGAGGCCCGAGGACGCGGTGGCGCACCACGAGGACCTCGAGGCAACTACGAGGGCAGAGGGGGTCGAGCGAATGGTCATTCTGAACCTCGCTCTCCTCAACAGACTACTCAACCCTCGTCACCTAATCCAGGAGCCGAAGCCGAAGCCGCTCCGGCTGCGGACCCCGATGGCTGGACGACCGTACCAAAAGCAAAGGGCCGTAATGCCCGACGTGTTTAAGCGAAGCTAGCACTGTACAAAATTTCAGATCTTCCATGCTCAGGCTCGTGGGAGGGGGGGAAGGGGGAGTTCATTGGCACACCATAATACTATGGACTTGCAATACGAAGAAAACTTGTGATCCTTTTTCTTTCCTGTTACCTACCCCCCTTTTTATTACTTGTTGTGATGACTACAATACTACGTACGTACGCGTTATGAGGTTGATCTACTTGCTGCGTCTGCCGCCTACTCCACCGTATATACCAATACCCCCTCCTACAAGGGATATCGTTGGTAGGACTGAACAGCACACTGTACAGCTGCTACATGTTTGCCCTTACCGGCGTATCTAGAGACAAGTTTTGAGTTGTTATTGCGTCGCGCACCTCCATCTTCGTCGGTTTTCCGTGTTTGTGGGCCATTGTTTACGGAACTCGTCCTTACTGAGGATGGTCTATGTCCGCATAGAAAGGAAGGGATGGCATTAGGATTCTTTTTCCATGTGGTTGTGGGTATCTATCTGGTGTCTTCGATGTGCGGTTTATTCGTCGAGAAAGGGTCGGGAATTAGGGTGAAAAAAAGGGGACCCGTTGAGCAGAATGGCGACATGAGGAGGCGAAGCAAAATGAAGCAGGTATCAAGGAAATGGGAGTCGTTGTGTGCTATGCTGCGCCATGTTTAATGCCATGACGTGCCATGAGAAACCTGTTGTTCGTTGTTTTTTCCCCCGGATGCTAAACAAAAGTCCAGTTAGGAGTTTGTGGGCCGGGCCGGGCACTTCCTTATTTCTCTCTTCTGTATTTGGTTTTTTCTTTCTATTTTCGCCGTCTGTTGGACGAAAGGGGGGCTTATGCTTATGCCGGTCCGAGTATATGTCCCTGGGTGGTCTTGCTTGTAAGGCTGAGTCTTGTCCCCCTTTCGTCCCTGGTCTTCCGAGTAGGTGACCAGATAGGAAAAGCAGATAATGTCTACATAGACGTCGGGATAATGAATGCGAAACTGATTTTCTAATAGACTGTGCTCGTACATACAATATGACCTCTCCTATGCTTGCTACATTATGAAAGTCCTATCTAGTACTTTTAATTATCAACGGTGCTTGTATTAATATAACCAAGGGGATATAACTGCCACATTCTCTGTCCGGCCTTTACTATCAGAAAGTACATCTATCTACCCAGCTTACTTCTTAAACACCTGTGCCCCCAACTTCTCGATAGCCCTCCCATCCGCCGTGTCTCTACCGGCAGCTTCCAACAAACGAGCCCACGCATCGGCATCTTTAGCCTTGACGGCTTCCTCCGCGGCCTTAACGCGCAGGCCGCACTTCTCGTACATGGTAATGGCGGCTCCCGCTTCCAGATTCGTGCACTTAGGAATGAATGAAGCTGCGAGGTGGGCGTTGCCCGCTTGCAGGATCTGGTTGAAGAACGGCTAGAGGTGGGTCTGTCAGCATATAATTACTTGGAGGGAGGAGCAAAGAAACAAGGGGAAGACGAGTTTACCTCCCAGCCAATCGGGCTCTTTCTGCTCTTAGCAATGTCCTCGATTTCGTTCCAGTCCCGTTTCGCGACGAGTGCTCGAAGTCTACAATAGGGGCTTTGTTAGATACTATTTTCTAGAAACACATAAGCATGTCTTAGCAACTCACCGGATCCACCAAGCCACCCTCTCCGGAACCTTGAACTCGCTTTGGATCTTCTTGGCCTTGTTATGGTAACCTAAGTGAATCAGCTTGAATAAAGTCTCATTGACGCTTAACCCGGTAAACGTGTCGGTTAGGTCCCGGTCCAAAGCCTCCTGCATGCGCAAAAGCTGAGCTGCTTCCTTTAAAGCTGACAACTCGAAATAGTTCTCCTTCGAATCAGATAACAACTTGGTGGCAAGGACGAGTTTATCGGTTGCTGTACGTGCATCAGACTGTCGCAAGGCTTCATGGACGAACACACCTGCGCCATCTACTCGGCGGTCGTCTTGATAATAAAGATCTTTAAGGAGCGCATTATCATTCTCTAGCGCTGCTGACGATTCAACGAGCGCAGTGGCAGTCGGTCGCGCGTTGATCACACGGAAGAAGGATGCCAATGGGAGCTTTTTCTTCAGCTGGAGCAGCACAAAGAGAATTAGGTCAGAGTCGCCGCTCTCGATCGCCTTGTCAAGCGCGATTTCGTCTTCCTCCATGCTCAAGAGGAGCGGGACCTGTCGTCCCGCACGAGGCTCATGATTCAGAAGCTCTGTAGCCAGCCGGCCGCGGCCCTCGTCGTAAGCAGCGCGGGCGATGGCCTCGAAGGAAATGCCCGGCTTGCCTGACAGCTTTTCTACCACCATTCGGCAAATGGTTTCTTCATCTTCTGTACCAATTCGGACTTTTGCGGAAGCCCAGTGCACAAATATGCGGTCCGTGGGCAAGCGTAGGTACCCAGCAATCCGAAGAGCAAGTAGATATTCATGGCGGTTTATGAGTCTTTGGATTAGTCCTTCGGGTGTAAGGCGTTGATATTGTTCGTAGGACAGGGGCAAGCCGACTTCGTAATACCGTACGGCATTGATCACTCGTAATGTCTCGCACATGTCAACGAAGTCGTCACTATTGTATATATCTAGTACTGACTTGCCGAACGAGGCAGCTTTCAATAGTTGTTTCTGCCAATGGACATTGAATTCGTGTCCAGCAGCAGCAACGCACGTATCAACTGCTTCAACAAGATTTGGTCTTATAAGCTGGATGTTATCGTCAGCTTTTGGCGACTGATTCTCGAGCTGCTCTACAGCATCGAGTAAGACGGAAGCTGGCGACCCGCTACCAAGGCGGAATACTTCATCCGTAACATCTGGTACTTTTTGGAGGAAGTCGGAGACATCATTAGTAATTAATCGTACACCATCGTGATCTATCGTAAATTAGCAACCTGTAGGAGAAGATGGGGTTTTTTTTGCGACTAACCCGGTATTACGTGGACGCGACCTTCATAGACGTAGCTTGCCACGGCATTGTTAGGTCCTACAACGTTCACCTCATCTTCCCATGCGATGACAACAGCGTCATTGCCACACCATTCTAAGTATTTAGGTGTAAGCTGAGACCCGGAATGGTGCTCGCTTAGCCGGCTCTGGAAGTCGGCCGTAATAACATGAGCTTTCCCATCCGTGGCATAGAGCGCTGCAAACTTCCCATTCGGAGACACACCAATATGTGAAAATGGACCGATGTCAAGGAATCGATCTTCACAGTCGGTTTTATCCACAACATAGACTGTCTTGCCGATGCTTAAGAGCACCTCTACCGACCTAGACAGCGTGAAGCTCGGGGAGATAATAGCCCAAGCGTAAACCTCTCCTTCCGGTGGCGATGCGAGGGCTTTTGGCCGTGGTTCATCGTATGAGGACACAGAAATGAGTATATTATTAGTAAGTAAGGCAACCATACCATGATCGTAAAAGCGGCATGAGTGAACACCGAAATCTTCAGCTTCACGGCCGAGGGAGAATTGTGTAAAATCTCCCTGCAGGTTGTAGTAACATCTCACGGTCCCATCGTAGCTCACGACTAGAAGCTTCTCGTCTTCAGACCAACCAAGACCTTTGATGGAACCCTTATCCCAGGAAATGCTTTTCAACAGCTTACCAGCACAACTATATATGTCAATGCTGGGCTTTGATGACTTGGAAGGCTGGTAAGATACAATTTTAGTATCATCTCGACATATTGCTATTCGAAGTTAGTGAAATTCGATGCTTCGTGAGAGCTATATGCGGTGTATAAGCTATTGAAGGGCGATGCAATAGAAGTAACCAACTTTCATATTAGATTACAAGTGCAAGTCAAGGACCTTCAAAGTCTTAATTGGGTCTATAGATAAAACGTAACGATATGAAAAGCGGCTTACCTACAGCGCCGCCATATGGAGCACCAGCAACGATATAATTGTCCAGGTCAAGATCCTGGTCGAATATCGCGGTATACAGCTGGGTCTTGCGGTAAAACTTATCTCCCACTCTTTCCCACCCGGCCGTCGGATGCATCGCCTCCATGATTATTTCACTTCATCATCTTAGCAGCTGAGGCCAAATAGTGGAAACAGGTTCTGTATGAATTTAGATGTGTAGAGCATAGGAGGCAGTAAGTTAAGTGGATGATGGGAACTAAGGCCGGTACCTGGAGCTTGAATGGGAAATAACACCGGATAAAGTTCGGGCTACCAGGTACTTATATACCTAAGGTACCTAACCTACGTAATTCCTAGGTACCTAGGTACCCGGCATTCAACCTTCGCATGCGCGGTCCTCACCTTTTAAATATTTGGCATGTAGTGATAATCTTCATGGCTACAAATTTTATTATTATTATTATTATTATTATGCTTATAACACGCAAGCACAAAGATAGACAAGACTGCTTTCGCAACCATGATTCCAAAGAAACTCTTAATCGCCCGATAGGTATACAAACTAGTATGATACCCGAAATATTGCATAATGTTTGATCAATTCTTATTTGTCTAACTTACTTAAAGTACTAGCTAAGGCCTCTTATCTTCTCGACGGAATTTCGAGGTTATTTTTATTTCAAATAACCTAACCTTCAGACCACCTGATATACCTTAGGTAGGTAAGTACGTCAACCTAGCTTGAAGCAACATGGTTCTACCACTAGGCCAATACGTGTAACAAGCGACTAATTTCGCGAGAACGTCTTTATATCCTTACTGGTTACTAAATCATTGTTAGAAACGGGTTATACAGCACGACTGTAAGGTTGTAACTTACTTGTATGCCTCTTGTATGTCTCTTCTAGGCCGTATCAGCAGACTAGAACAACATAACCCGGTCTGCTGATAATGGATGCTTATTGCGTTCTCATCACGCCAGAGCATGTTTAAGGGTATCTCGGATACGTAGCACTTCGTGCATACTATGCTATGCGCACTAGGGATACTGATCCCTCATCTCCAGTATTCATCCTCGGCTCTTGCGACCATATCGCTTTTCCATCATTTTCTTGTAATGGCCCTTCTTACCGCTCGTCTTTACATCTTGGATCTGACCATACTTGTTCTTGAATCTCCGAGTGGCGTCTTCAGTCTCCAGGACTTCCTCGAGAAGAGTGCGCTTCCTCTCCTTCTTAGTTAACCTAGCGTTGAAGAAGTCGGTCGGTCCCTCAACTATAGTCCCGACTGAGGAGAATTGTGGCACTAAAGCTCTAGAACTATCCTTGCGGTAAAATCGCTTAGAGTCTAGAACATCACGCATGCGTAGTAATTGTAGATCCTTTTTGAGTTGGGGAGTAAGATCAGTCCGGGGAAGGTTAAACCACGAGGGACCAGCATCTGCCTTGACAGCCTGAGAAACTAGTCAGCAAAGAACTTTGACGCAAGCTGATGCGAAATAAGAAGCGAGGTAAAGAGTCAGAGTAACTATGATATGGATCTATCATTCTGGCGTAGTAACGTTACCCATAACGGGAACAGCCACTACTTCAATTAAATTGGGATATGAATTTCATCATAAAAGGGTCGTGCCGATAGCAACGTATATAAACCATAAAGAATCAATGTGCGACGTACCATTTTATGTTTTGGCCGCCGAACCTCGGGTACTCTTACCGACAATCCTTCAGACTTTGATTTCTCCTTGGAAGAGACTAGAGAGGCTACCCTCGGCGCTGGGGAGTCTGGTTTGGAGGCCTTTACGACGTCCGACTTGTTGGGTACGGCAACAGTTTTCTCATCTTGTCCTTGATGTTTTGCTTTCAATCTTTCCTCGGCTTCTCTAAGAAGTTGCTCGATCTGATCATCTGAGAGACATTCCGCGGTTGCTGTATCTGCCATGGTGAGCAACAGCACAATTCGTTGATGGGATGGTCAGTCCTTGAAGCTTGAAAGGATAGGAAAAAAAAAAGTTTAAGCTCCATTGAAAAGATGATAAAATTTGTCTTAGTACAAGGTGGCTAGGCGTATGTGGCTAGTGTGTCTCTATGTGGCTTATTGCATTACTTATGTATGTACCTAGGTAATCATATACCTAGGTACCTACCTATGAGGTACTCCGGGCTTTGCGGGGTTAGTTAGTTGGCCGAAGGATTACCTATGTATGTATAGGGCGATACCTAGCATAGCCTATCGATAAGACAACAAAGTTACCTGTCAGAGCCTTCCGGCAGCACACCATCTTCTAATCCTTGGAGCCACCCCCAACCTGCTTAATACGTACTATGTACAGTACTTACCTCGATAGCTGATAGAGAGTGAAGTCGGCGGCCGCTGATGCCCAACCATAGTGCCAGCGCATTGATTCCTATCGAGGCCGCCCAGTTTTCGCAGCCAGCCCTACAACGTATAAGCGCATCGAAGATCTAAGCACTTCTAGAAAATCCATTCACGTCATTGCCCAATCCCGACCAACGCATACATAGAGCTAATTTATTAGCTTTGGGTTATGAATCAGATCATTCTAATACATATCGTACCTACACATACACATACATGAATGACACACGATTCATAAAAGTTCACAGTTATCGTAAGCATTCCATCCAAGTTCAACCTTTTTTTCATTACTTCTAATTTTGTTTCATTTGATCCAACACCGGGTTGTCAAAGAGAAACTCCGGGAAGAAGTAGATAAAAGCCTGACTAGACAGGCGGATACCTTAAAAGTTCGAGTTCGAGGTCGAGGTCGAGGTCAAGACCAGGAATCAAGCTCAAGCTCAAGCTCAAGCAAAAATAGTGGGCATCTCGGAGCGAGCCGCAAGGTGAGCAAACTTCTGGGTAAAAGAAACAAACGGGAACGAATAATAATCTAAGTAGCTGACAAAGGGGCGCGAAAAAAAACCGTTCCTCGACCAAAATCGCACAAACAGCTTTCCTTAAAGCTAAAGCCAAACGATCGCCCAATCAATCATCTCCTCTCCTCGAACCTAGTCACTCCTCCTAGTCACTCCCGACCCCCAACCTCTCGTCGGGCCAATCAATCTTTCCAATCCAAGGGACTAACTTGGAAATACCTACTGTACCAAAAAGCCTATTTGTTACATCACCACGCGCACCAAAGCTTCGATCTGGGGCTCTGTGTAAACAACACAAACAAGCCCTCTAATTTTTTTCTCCGCCGTCGGGAGCCTATCTACGCACGGTGATACTTACAAGCCTTCTCGGCAAGCGAAAAAGGACCACTCGATAAAATTCACTACCATCTTTAGGGTCGTGCGCGTGCGTGCAATACCATCGCGCAAGACTCCAGTTTGCCTGTCAGCTCCGGTCAAGTCTTGTGTGTTTATTTCGCGCGCCTTTTGCTTCTGAAATACTCGACGTATTTCTTTCTACCTGCGCACTCAAGGTTGTAAGACCAGTTGCGCAATTTCTTCAAACAAAATAGCCATGGATCAGTCTTCGTCAAATCACCCTCAGTCGTCGAGGGGAGGCGGTGGAGGGGCCGGTGTATATGATATAGCTCACGGAGGTCACTATGGTAAGTACCTCTTGATTGCACTCGTTTGTTGCGAGTTGCCTTCGTTCGTACGACGTCGCTAATCATCTCTCCTTCTAGGTGCCAGTGCAGCAGTAAGTCCCACCATTCTTCCCCTCTCCCGTCTCATCTCCCATCTTGACTCTCGCTTCTCGTCTCTTGTTACCGGGTTCTTCCCTTCTTCCTACATTTCTACCAACTATCGATCCCTTCTTTCCCATATTACCGCTTTACTAACGCAGTCAATCTAGCTCGCAAATTCTGGTTTCGCACCCGCCGAGCTCTACACCGGGCCTTGGGCCAATGTTCACCAGGGTCTACACGGCCAATACAAGGATATTCTAACAACCTACTGGCAAAATACCATCAACCACCTCGAGTCAGACCAACATGACTACAAGCTCCATCAACTACCCCTGGCTCGAATTAAGAAGGTCATGAAGGCCGATCCCGAGGTCAAGATGATATCTGCCGAAGCTCCCATCCTATTCGCGAAGGGGTGCGATATATTCATCACCGAACTAACGATGCGGGCGTGGATTCATGCCGAAGAGAATAAGAGACGAACATTGCAGCGATCCGATATTGCGTCTGCTCTCGCTAAGAGCGACATGTTCGACTTCTTAATCGACATCGTTCCGCGCGAAGAGGCAAGTCACGCTAAGCGCGCTAACCCCGCCCAGGCGCAACAGTCTCAAGGTGGCGTGCCGCCCGCAGCAGCCGGTAACCAAATGCCGGGCTCGCACGGGATGCCCGGAGCCGCCAACCACATGGCACCGGGCGACTACGGCATGGGCAGCCACGCCATGGGCTCCGACCAAGAATACCGCGGCCCGCCCATGTACAATCAAGTCCAAACCGGCCCCGGCGGTCCCTATAGCCAACAACCACCCCAAGCCATGTACGGGGATATGGAGGGGATGTACGGCTACCCAGGCATGCCCCAGCAGCCATAGGAGGATAGCAGGGCGCTCCTAGAGATGTATAATCAGGTGACGATTAACCAAGTTTACAATGAACCCTAGGATGGTGAGTTCCGAAACGAGGGATCTCAAGAAACATATCCAAATTACTACTACTTAGGAGAAGGAGAAGGGAATAGGACCGGGCAACAGTATCATAAAATTTACAGAAACGACTTCCGTGAATACTACCACTACTACTAGGCGACAGACACATGTTCTTATTTTGACAGTACGGCGCAGGGGTTTATAGGTCATCGGGTTTTCTAGCCGCCATTGTTGCGGTTTTTAGTGCGATGAAATACAATTCATTTTTTACATGCCTACCTAGGTATCTTGTCTAATACACGCGCCCGTGATGTGAAATGTGTTGATGTTGATATACACGTCTGTTTGTGCCTCTATTTCGTACCGAAACGCGATGACAGGTTCGACGAGAAATTGGCGAATCGCTGAGCCGTCTGCCCCGGACTCAATATCTGCTGGGTAAGCCTGTCTGCATGTTAGTCGTACTGTTTCCAGGCCGTGTGTATTTTAACATTGAATAGCGTATGACTCACTTTTCCAATAAAGCCGGGCCGTTCATGGCGTCGACACGTCCGTACTTCTTGTTCCGGGTCAAGAGGTCGAAGTACTCGTCCGTGTTGTCGGACTGGAGGAGCTGGATCGTCTGCTCGAGCTCGTCCAAGTTAGACCGCAGCATGAAGCCGTTTTCGAGGCCGTCGACAAAGGTAGTTAGATGCTGGACGTCCATCGATAGCGCCGCGACGCCGTTCGGGTTGATTTTCTTTACGTCTGGAGAGAGGGGGAGGGCCTGTGGTGTCTTGTCAATACTACGACCTAAGCGAATTGGATTAAGTGGTAGGTTACTAACAAGAATCTTGTTTGCCGCGTGACTGAGCGCGTCAAAGTAGATAAGCTCCTTGATTTCCCTAGGCAAGCCTAACAGCGTCGAGTTCATGATATTAGACAGGTATCTAGTCAGAGTCTGCATGTAATTGCTTGGCTCTGTAGGCTTGTTATACGCGATCCAGTCGTACTCGGCGGTTTCGACCAGGTCGTCGATCTTGGAGTTCACGAGCTCGAAGATGCGTTTTTCAGCCGTCTTCTTGTTTTCCCTAAACTGCTCGGTGGCTGCCAAGGTCAAGGGACCGCCGGCGGACCCCGAAGACCGGGCTCTGATCAGAAGCTGCTCCAGTTCCTGGCAGGCGATCTCGAAATGCTCTAGATTGATCAAGATCTGCACTATCTGACCTAGATATTGCGAGCTAAGCCTCTCTACTAGAGACTTGCATACCTTCTCCGTAAGAAGCTCGTCGAGAGACTTGCGCAGTGTATCATCAATCTTGTTCGGATGTTGGAAATGGTCATCTGAGAAGAAATAGAACTGGTTGAGAAAATTCCTAATGTCAATACAACACAGCGGATACATTTGAGAAAATGGTAGAACACATGGAAACCTGTGATAGTTAGATCGTTGTCGAATAAGATACATGCTAGAGACTTACGTGAGCTCCTCGAGGGGTTTCTCTGGGGTAAACCAGCTGACATTAGCCACTTTCTCGTATTCTTCTCTTGTGTTGATAGCCATTGGCATGTAATCATCAGTCGATACAATCTTCTAAGATAGTCAGCAAGTCAAGTTTTTTTCCCCCTCGCAATGGACGACCACGAACCTCTTGAAAGTCCTCGCTGAACCTTTTCTTCAGCAATTCCGCATATCTATCGAAGAGATCGACCAAGAATTCGTCAAGTCTTGAAACTGAGTATCCCCATCCCTATAAAAAAACAAAGGTCAAAACGGCATCCAGGTATGGACACTACTCTACTAACCTCCATTGTGAGGATGAAGAGATCAATTCGCCCCTTAGTATTCAGGAGCACTTGGGCATCGATGATATCACTAAGTGCCTTGGATGTTAGGGATATTGCTGTAGAGCACATCGAATCCCACAATTCCTCGACCTAAAAATGTCAGCGCTATTAGCTAATAAGCATTCGATTCAATCTCACATCGATAGCTGTGCGTAACTGTGGGACTTGTCGCATTGTCGCTTTTTCGATAATAGCAAATCCAGCAATACCCTCCAGCAAACTACTCAGCGACGATTCATCATCAGTGGTTAAGCTCACGGAACCCGGTAGGAGCAACTCTTTTTGTCGTCTTCTAGTAGCAGCGTATTCCGATCGGAATTTATCACTCTGTCCTAATGCCTCGTGGATATGTAGAGCTTCAAAAAGGGGGGTAAAATCAACCTTCAGCTCCTCATTATCAAGTACGTCAAACTCTTCGCTCTCATCGAAGACCAGCTCGATGGCAGAGTTTAGCTTAAAATTAGTCAAAAACTCATCTTTCTCCGCCCTTTCCCGCTGTCGCGTGCGGCGCATCTCAGTATGATAGAACGCCACCTCCCCAAGGAACTGCGACGTCTCTCTAATTCGGAATAGCCAAGTATTGAGATCTGTCATGACCGCCTCGGAGATAGTTTTTTGGGATGCGGGTATGGATTTCTGTATCAGGTTGGCAAGTTGGTGCTGGGTAGCATAGCTATTCTGTATTATCGGAATAAGAAACTCGTTCTGGAGGTCCTCGAGAGACTTAAGCGCGGCGTAGTACCCCTTTTTGCGGATCAGGTCGTGGGCGTTGTTGACAGCATGCAAGATCTTTAGAGACTCTTTCAGGGCGTCAGATACATCAGAAATATTTTCTCGGACAGCTCGCGTGTTGACTAATGCCTGTTTCTGCTCGGCTAACTTCTCCGTGCTAGCTTGGATGGACTGATTCAACTCGAGGATGTCGGCCGTCAAGGCAACAGTCCGCTCGCGGACATTTTGGAGATGATTGACAGAATCTAGGAATTCCTCATGCTTTGTCAGTCCTATCCTCTCGATCTCGGACTCCCGGTCTTCGGCATATTGCGATAAGTTCTGCGTGAGGGTAATCGCTCGGTTCGTTGCTGTCGCATCTTTCAGGACAGGTATTAATTGATCGAGGAATTCGGCGTCAGAGGTAGATAGGATAATCTGATGGACGGCAGAACCGTAATCGTCGTAATTCTGTACCCTTCGCGGCATTGTTGCAATAGAGGATTGCCCGGTCGTATCACAATGCGACTAAGAGAGCCGTACAGGTCGGAGGTTGTTCAGCAGGAGAGAGGGTTTGTCAGACAAGGACAAGCCGTCATTGTCAGTTGTAGTTTCGATGCTCAAGGCGATTGGATGGGTTCTCGGATATAAGGTGATTATGTATATGTAGGTATGTAGGTAGGTTGCCTTTAATTAGGTGTCTCGATATTCACAGTAAGGTTATGCGGAACTGCTGCTAGAGGTGTAGGTACCTAGGTAGCTGCATGTGATAAGCCTCATCCATTCAGCCCCACCGCCACTACCCCATGCTCCCGTCTACCTAAATGCGCTTTGATCCACTTCCACAAAATTACATGAAACCTTGAACTCACTTCCCGGAATCAATGTGGCTTGCGGTTGTGGCGCATAACTTCATACTTCCATATTACCTAGTTAGGTATCATTATACCTCAACTTCACCTAAAATCTATATCATACATTTTACTTACTTGGACCTTTTTTTGTGGGTGATCACTGCTATTTCTATGGCTTGTAGTAAATCAACTGTCCAATAACCTTCTCGAATGTAACATATACTGAGATCAAGGAATATTACATAGTACATTTGATATTCACAGGTAAATATGGGTATTGTTCAATGAAAACCAGTCCACATACAGTTCTTCAACCATGAGATGAGATGGTGCTGCTATCTTAACGTAACGCATACTGATAATTGCTACGGTCGAGATACTAATAATAAGACCAAGTTAATTTTACAGCATTAGTTGATCACTCTGTATTCATTTCGAGATGAAGATGATTTATATTCTTGGAAAGTAGAATCTATGAACCATTTGCTACCTGATTACCGGTTGTCAGATGTGAGATTTCCTATCATCGCAGTGGTCATCTCAACTGTTACTATACATGCTAGAACAAGGGTGTGCACTAGCAAGCATCTCCTAGGCGTTCCACGTTGAGGATGTAGGTAGGGAGAAAAGTTTTGACAAGACATGATTAGGGGGGTCAGTATGGTGGTTTGGGTTTACCTAGGAGCACAGTTTGATGTCATATACGTCCAGTACTTTGTGCAAACACCAACGGCGTCATTGTTACTCGAACCGTGTAAGTAGATAGAGAGAGAAAAATACTTCAGACTACCTTAGGTAGGTAATTCGCTTAAGCACACAGTTATTGGTCATTTCCTAGGACATGCTCATCTGAGCAGAGAGGTTAGGTAATTTCCGCCAGTGCAGACAACAGTTGATCATTCTTCTGGTAATGTGGCAGTCGCGTCTGATCACGACAAAGTACATATTTACATATAAACTAGCTCAGTTTACCAGCGCAGTAGCAGTAGGCCACGGTGCAAACAAGCGCATGCAGTCATTTTACGCCTAGCGGTCCAATAATACCTGCACGGCGGTATAACAGACAGTGTAAGTACCCAAGTAGGTAGGTGCAATACATACACCCTTTTAGCCAACTATTCCCTTTCTGAAACCAGCTCCTTCTACGTAGGTAAACGACGTACTGTAAATCAGTACCAGAAGCAGCGTACATGCACTTGACGCACTTTCCTAATCATCATTTAAACCAAAAATCATTCGTGCCGCACCGTTTCTACTTATTAATCGCACAACTTCTTACAATTCTCTAACCCTCTCCACCCTCTCTCGACGACCAACCTACTTACATATAACCCTCTCGATCCACACATACCCTTCCACCTTGGACCATTGTCACATCTTGGGGTCAATCTGGATTTCATCAATTACACGCCGGTATTCCCGAACTTCTTGTCCTTGGGGAAAGTCGTTGGCCTTGGAACGGTATTGCGTCAAGAACCTTCTTGAGACATTCAGACCCCACGAACCACCCTCTTCAGATCTTTTGTCTTGGCGCAGATAGGAACTTTACACATCACTCAGGCCTCAATCAAGTTTACCGGTAAGTCTGAGTAATGGTTTTGTTGCATAGACACCTATTAACTGATATCCTCACTCGGTAGTTTTGCATCCAATTGACGCGTCTAACCTATAGTTCATTACCCGTCTGCCAGACGACAACTCCGTTTCGCATAGTATACCAGAAATATTCCATTCACCCTACGCGTGTATGGTTCGGAACGCAGGTGGTAAATTGACCTTTCAACCGCATCTATATTAGACCATCTTAACTGCTCCTGGGCGGGACTAATTTCAGACT